GAAAACATGAGATCTGAAGACAAATCCATGGTGAATCATGCGAAAAGGCGTGGACAAAGGCCTATTGGTGCCAAATTTGAACCAATTGTTGAAGAATTATGAATCTATGAGATGGACAGGCCAATGGTACCGGGACAAAAATCGAAGTATACTCCTCAATGGAAGTGTCTGTTCGAGAGGACCATCCGGCCTGCATATACAGCGGCATTATTTTCTCCAGCAATTTCTATCTAAATCACCCCGCAAATTCCCCCGCATCCTGTTGGTCCTGGACCGGGTATTGAACATACCAATCTTTCAAAAATCGATCCAAGAAACTATCATCACACGGGTCAACGACATCCCCGGCATGATGTACAAATATGTTTAATATTTATCGTTCCCATGGACCCCAAATGGCTGTATTGAAGGCCTGGCTCATGCAGCTCCAAACCTGTGCCACCAAAATGCTATTGACATAGCAAATCGTCCCTGAATTGGCCAAATGGGTAGCCAACACCAACCGGATCATCTCTTCAAGTCTTCAATCGTTGGGAGATTGCATTGGCTAACGGCGATCGATGAAGGTTGGCCGGTCGTATTCGCAAGAGGATGAGTTGCGTGATGCCACATCCTGACAGCTTCTGAAGATGTTGGAAGAGCTCCGAGGCCTCCGTTGAACGAAGGCTTAGGTCCAATCTCCAAGGGATTGCCACAGCAACGTCCTGCGGGAGATTCTCCTGATTGATTTGCCTGAGGGCCGAAAACTTGTGGATGACCCCTGCTGTTGCCTAAGGTGTGCAATCCGTTCCAATAACGTCCTGATTTTCTCCGAGGTCAAAGGTGGAATCTTGTTGGGTTTCAGCATCTGAGCCTGAGGATCCCACGACAAGTAGGCCCACTTCAATTCGTCGGTACAGATTCCTTGGCTCTTGAGGTTCTGAATCAAGGCGTCGTCGTTTGCCTCCAAATTCAACTTGAGAGTTCTTTGGGCCAACTCCTGGAAGCAATGTAGGGAAAGAGTCGACCTCAATGGGACAGATGCGTCTCCACTTTGTTTGAGGACATTCTAATCCCTGGCCTTGGCCAACATGCTGGGCATGATGTTTCTTCGACCGCATTGGAGGAAGAACATGTAGCTCTTGTCCAATCCCAATTGAGCTAGGGCATCCTCCTGCCTGAGAGACAATCTTGCAATCATATTCAGTAGCTCGCCGTTGCCGCCACTCGACGTTGAGGCCCAAGAGGGCGAGGATCGAGGCATTGAACCCCGGCCACGTCTGTTCTGGCCATTGGATATCACCGTGCGCGGTCTTTTGCCTTGATTGCCGATGTGTTGATTGCAGGCCTCCAACAAATCGAAAAAATTCTGATCGTCTGCGTGCATCTCCTCGCCCATCATAACGATTGGATTGATACCACAATGTCCAGTCTTGGGCCGGTGCGTGCTCGATGGAATGCAAGGCTGAATGCAAATCCGTCAATTGGTCACGAAGGTATTCAGGCATATTGATTGGCAAAACATCTGTTGGGGTCGGTTCCATTGAATGCCAGGCCCACGATAGAGGATGCAACTCATGGAGATAGGCCAGGCTGAAAACAGAATCCGGTGGCAGGTTGGATAACGGCATATCCGGGTGGGGGGCAATCTGAGTCAATGTATCATGGAACCACTTCAATTTGGCTTCAGGATCGAATGGAACCATTGACTTCATGTCATGCCTGGGGGTATGAATCAGGGCTTGAGCAGCCTCCGGGATCCAATTCGACATATTCTCAGGGATTGACAGTCCAGGGCACCAACGATGCAGAGTCAGGTTCCGGGCATCAGACATGCTCTGGTTCTCCTGAGGACAGGACGAATCAAGCGGCTTACCGAAATGTTGATGGCTCGTCCAGGTGCACAAGAGGACAGGTCGTTGGAAATGGGTGCGAAGTTCAATTTCCATGGAAAAAGAGGCGTGGCAATGTTTGCATGCTAAGTGCACCGGATGCATATCGATTTGTGGCTCAAATGGAAAATCATCGGGGCGGGAAATATCATGGTCTACGGATTCTTTGCACAAGGGACAGGGGTATATTCGAGCCGGGATTGGACATGGACCATCCGGTCGACAGGCCACTGTGCTCCGGACGTGTCGAAGGAGGCGCACCTGAAACCTCAGAGCGTTCAACGGAGGCATGCAGAGGAAATTTGATATATTGAGTATATTATGTATATATATATATATATTCAAATTCGTCTTAAATCAAATAATAAAAATAATTCAATATATAATTATTTAATATTGAAAGAAAAAAAAATATATATATTTATATTCAATCTATAAAGGATTTACATGTGATTTGGGGTCAAATATATTTAATTCTGGGTCTGATTTCTGGATTTGATATTTGTTGATATTTCTATGATGGAATGATAATAATAATTTTTTTGATTTATGGATATCAATAAATTAATTAATTTCAAATATCTGAATATTTCTAATTTACAACAAAAAAATAATATTAAAATAATAGAATGATCATTATATTTATCAAAATATGATAGTATCTTTTCCCTTGATATCATATATATTTCAAAATATTATCCTGAATAAATATTCCTTCCCATCCAGGTGATATTTTTTGCGGCTTTGGATATTGGGATAGTTATCACCTAAACATATATATTGAGGTCATAGAATTCAATGATTTTACCATCCCATTAATTTAGGGGATCGAAACATATAGATTTCGATAATTTTCATTCGAAAATTATCTAAATCCGGGATTTCCAGAATGAAATCGATTATCCCGGAATCAATTTGCACGAAAAAATATCATAAATTCTTGCTATATCTGTAGAATATATTGCATGTAAATTATATTTCAATTACAGAAATCAATATCCAAAAATTAAATATAAATTTCTATGGTAATAATCGAAATCCTAAAATATAAAATTATTAATTTAAATTTATAAAAATCGATATAATAAAATGGTATTTTAATTTCTACAAAAATTCCAAGAAATTTCAATCCTAAGAATTAGATTTAAATTAATATTAAATATTATGAATTCGGTGATTACCATATAATATATATATATTTTTTTTTAATTCTACCTTAATAATATATTAAACTATATAATATTATATCAATATTTAAGTTATATTCATTTATTATATATAATCAAATCAAATTCAATAATATTTCAATATATATTTCATAAATAATCATAATATTATATCATTCAATTTCAATAATATTTAATACAAAAAATTAATTAATATATATTAATATTTATCAATATATAATAAGATATACAACAAACACTATTTTTCATAATATTTATCAATAATAATGTATAATATTTATTCTTTCCCCCCCCCAAAAAAATCAATCAAATAACCTAATTCCAAATCCCACATATTTAATCCCAAATTCCATATAGATCCTTTATAAATATATTTATAAAACTAATTATCTAAATATAAAATAGAATAGATTAATAATCGATCAATTTCAATTAAATATATAATTAATATTAAATATAACTAAAATTATGAATATTCATTATATATATATATATAATATTCTATTAATAAAAATATAGTAGATTTAAATTTTCTTATTAAATCTATATTATATAATTGATTTTGCTTAGCCGAAGGCACCTCCAATGAATCTATGAGCTACTTTGGTGGTGTAGGAATGCAACGAAAATCCTCTAGATATTGGTCAGATTCATTCAATGAAGGCATTTGTTGTTCTGTTCAGCGATCATCTTCGTGATCTTTGCCGAGCACGTTAAAATTGGGGACCAGCCTTCAATGCAAATGAATCTGCAAACTGTACAATTGAGCGGTGAAACTGATGTGGGCCTCGCAGCCTTACAAGAATGTCACCTGGTCATGACTTCCCCCAAATGTCCCTCTGCAATGTGAAGTCTGTTCTCTGGAGGCGATTTTGTTGTTTGGAGCTCCTTTGCCACCAACCCATGTCCCTATTCAAACTAAAATACATTTGTTGCCCTTCACTTGCCTGAGACTTGAAAACAGTTTGAACTCTCAAACACAATCAAAAAACTAGATAACAACTTTGGAAACCTATCTTCTAGCCACCAGAATACCAATTAAACACAGAAATCCTTCTGAGAATGCAACATGGCCCACTCCAATATGCGGCTTCAGAGAATCCCTGCCACGGCAGCAGGGCGAGTGATCAGAAACATCGTACCCGAAAGCTCTCAGGGATGATGAAGGGCGTGATTTGAAAGCTCAACCAACTCAACCTTTGACACGACAGCAATATTTGTGATTTGCAGTGTGCCATCTTCCTTATGCTTCTAGAAGGAGCGTGTACACACGTTCAACTCCAAATTGTTGTAACATTGTACACAGGAATTAAGCAAACTTTTAAAGTGATTGACGCCTTTCGTCTAACCTTTCGTCTAAACTGATTGGGGTCTCCACAAATGGCCGTCTCGTTTGGGTCTCCGCCGTCGTTGACTGACGGCTGAAGCATGCTGAAGGACCCTCGTTGTACATGAAGGACCTCATCTTGACGGCCATTGACGGCCTAAAGAAAACCGCCCACAAAGGCTGAATATGACACCAGAGGTGGTCTAAGACGTCTAAGACTAAGACTATTCATTGGGTATATCAATCCTATGACCAGCGACACCAGGACCATGATGGTTAGGTTGCAGGCCCTTCCCTCAAATAGTGATCATTGATGATAATTTTTTGCTGACTGCTAAAGGTAATAGCACAGACCCAAACTATTCACTATTCGTTCCAAGTATTTACTATTAGCCCCATCTTCACTCCCAACGGTCACACGTGTTGTCAACATCCTGGATGCCTTGTTTGGACAATAAATACCCCTGCTGGACCTTCACACAAAACACGCCCTCTGAGAGGTATTTGAAATGGGTTTAGCTAAATACCTTTCGAGGAGGTACTAGGGCCCACCAAACGGGCTCTGCACTGACCAAGCACGTCCATCTCCGACTCCTCCGATCGGCGCCCATCGGCTCACGCCTCGCGCCGGACACTGTCCGCCTCGGGAATTCGCGCCGATCGGTCCAACCGACCGTTGCGCCGAGCTCGCGGCGTGGTGTGCTCCAGCTGAGCGGGAGATGCATGTGCAAAGCTTCTTTGGATGGATTTGTGAAGTGTATTTTGCCACACGTGAAGCTGGGCAGCATGCTAGTGGCAGGCGCTGGTTTACATGACGACACTTGAGGCCAGAGGGGGTGAACGAAAGCTAGCCGGGCTTCCGGTGGTCTGCTGCTGGTGCTGCTGCTGCTGGTGCTGCTGCGCTGGGTGCTCTGCAGGCGCCGGGTCGTCTGCTGCTGCTGCTGCTGGCGCTGGGTGGTCTGCTGCGGCTGCTGCTGCCGCGGCGTTGGGTATGCTGCTGCTGCTGCTGCCGCTGCTGCGCTGGGCGCTGCAGATGCTTGGTGTGCTGCAGCTGCTTGGTGGTCCCGCTCACCGCGCGCAGGGGGGAGTCGAACCGCGGGGGGGGGGGGGTCCATAAGATTGATTTAATCAATTATTTGAGGTTTCTGAGATGCGTCCACCCCGTCACTTAACTTGCTAAAGCAAGAGCAACTCCAGCTAGCTAAGGCTAGCTTTCGTGATGAGAAAGGAGATCATTCGCGGTAATTGATGGTTGATGGATGGCAACCATGCTAAAGGGTATAGGAAATATATGGAAATATAAAATATACAACATGGTGGGCAACCTGTCGTGGTGTCAACCGCTTCGTCATCTAGCTAGGTGGTGATGTTGAAACCCCTGCAAAAAGGTTCCTTGTTCTACCAATTCATGTTCTACTTATTCTGTTCTTCCTACAAATGCTTCACGCGGCCTTGGCTAGTTCGAGTGGCAATAGACTAGTCCACAGTGTTGGTTGACACAAGAATCACAATGTAATTTGTCGGATCTGATTCCTTGCATGATGCTTGATGCCTTGAGATCGATTTTCATACTATGAGCTGAAGAACTGTCAGTCATGCAATTGACACCTCAATTGATCTGAAAGTATGCTGATTCTGCTACTATTCTGACACATGGCCTAATCTAACGAAGCGTGCAACATGATCATGATGACGCGCATTGATCGGAGAGGTAAAAAGCCACCAGGTTTGGAAGCAAAATCAAGAGGGGTCATGAAGGTCATATGGCTGAGTTGTCTAAAGAACGCCAGGTTACTGCATGTGTGTCACCGCCAGTGCAATGAAGCTTTTAGGTGAGAATTAGAGCCAAAGCCCATTCAAGCCAAGAAAGCTTGCTCTGTCTACTTGCTTTAGAACAAACACATTCCTTGATGGAATAGCCCGTGTAAAAGGCACCATGAGGTGGTGAAGATGACAACAGGCACAGAGTACAACTATATGATATATATATATATATAATTACAAAGCTCCTTTGCCAAAGAAATGCAACATGAAAAAAGGAACACCAAAAATAGATAAATGCAAGTTGATAAACTCCACTACAAACCTTCAAATCCAAAAACGTATTGTTGGCGAACCCTCATCCCATCCTGACCTTTCCTCCTCAACCCTTCCAATCTCACTCAGCTGAGTGCCAACGCATCCTCATCATTCGGCCAGGAGATGATAAACAACGGGACCGACCTCACGCCACAAACGAGTATGTCACCATTCTGTTGAGACCACATGATACATGTCAGCAAAGAGGAGAAAGTTCAAGAATTGGAAATACTAATTGGAATATTGGTATTGGAAGATCGTCAATTTGAAGAAACAAACGATGATAATCCGATGATACTCGATAGGAAACCCGAGTCACCGGAGGCCATGATTCTGAGTTTTGGGCTGTTTGATTTGGGGCGATGTGGTTGTTTCGAGCCATCTAGAGAGGCATTTTGGAGGGGAAACATATCCGGTAGCGCCGAACGAAACCGTGTTGTTCTGACATGCAAGTGATATGCCAGAACCTATATGGTCAGAAATCAATCCAACGCCGAGCAAAGAGAATTGATGTATGTGGATGTCAAGGAGTCTTTGTCGAGGTGGTTTACCTAGAACTGAGCTTAAACTCTGCCAACCAGTGACGGGAGGGCTGTTGAAATGCTTTGGACCGGCTAAAGGACGGAGCCACAAGTCCCAGCTTTCATGATGAGATGAACACTCTCCCAATCGATAGGGTCTGAGCATGTCTGAGCTCTAAAGAATTCTTGAAGGAAAATACCAACAGAAACTCGAAAGAGAGGTAGACATCAGTGTGGACATCTAGCAGTCTAGGCCTTTTTCATGACTCCAAAGTTGACACGAGTCACACACGGTCTCCCCCCCCAAAGACTCATTTTGGGGACCATCGATTAATTCTTCACCCAAAAACAATTTACAGTATATATTTGGGGATCTCAACACTTTTCACATCTCATTCCGACTGAACTGTCGAAGCAAACCGTCGAAGGCCCGTCATGGCCACACAACACCCAGGGGCATTTCGCATCTCCTTTCTTGGCCCCATGGCGAATAAGCTGGCGATGTAGGTAAATTCCAAGACCAACACCATCCTGGAGTCTTCGTTTCTGAGAGTGCGAGCATGCAAGGTACTTCCTTTCATGAATTGAACTGTATGCAGTTAGGCTCAGGCTCAAACCGCTGTAGCTATCTTTGGTGAAGCCCTTTTATCTTGTGCAGCGACCCCAGGCAAATGAAACAAGAAACAACATTAGAACATGAAATGTGACAAACATTGAGAAACTGGAAGCAATTCCTATCTTGACTGACTCATTCTCAGTTCCTAGGTTCCACGAATCCCTCCGGATCGGATCGCTCCGCTCCACTCGCCTCCAGGGCGAGCAAAAGAAGGCGGCGGCTAAAGCACCCAAAACACCCGCCAGCTTCAGCATCCCCTCAGGGCGAGTGTCTCGGTATAGATCCAATCCCACCGGAAGAGACCTGATAGACCTGACAGACCTCTACTTCATCTAACCAGCCAAAATAGGGTCCAGCTTCGCAAAAACAGAGGTCATGTCTGGGCTTATAGGTATGGAAGATATGCCTACATCGATTGACTCCCTGTTCAACCAGCTCCAAAGCATGTAACGCTTCCAATAAATCTGAATCTATGCCAAAACCAGAATTTCGGACGAATAGTAACTCAAATTTGATCAGAATTGTCTACAAATTTGATCAGAATTGTCTACACACTTTGAACTTGAAATTAAATATGACCTGCAGTCACATGTTTCGGAACTTCTTCAATCTATCAGGCGGTCTCGTCTCTATGCTCCTTTGGAGTTCGGTGTTCCAGTGAAATGTCACTTACGTTTCAGAAGATGATTGATCTGGGAATTGCAGCGGGTGCTGGCACACCAGATGCCCAGGCTTCTCACTTAAGTCTGCCCTCAGCAACACACTCCGCGCAACACTCCGTGTGTGGCCGTCGAGCAACGGCAAAGCTCAAATCGGGCGCGAACAAAAATATCCCAAAAGAAGCTCCCAGCACTGGTAAGCAGGTCATATGCATGTGTAATGAACATGTTTCACTTTCATTCAAGACCATGCCGTTATACATGCCCATGTTAGCATCATGTACAACGGCATGTTCACATGGTTGGAAGAGCTCTTCCTTCCGCGTCCAACGATGCATGGAACGATGCTCGCCTGACCTCCGGGTCGATCGACCGAAACCCCGTCCCACGCCTCCCAAGGTGAGCGAATGCGCAGGTGCGACGCCTGGGGTGTCCGGACGCATCCGGAAGCAGTCCCCTTTCGGTGTGGGGTGATGAGGGGGTGGGAAAACAAAGGCACACAAGGTCCAATCCATCTAGCAGGTGTCATGATTCAAGATCTGAGATTTGATGCTCAACCCTTCTGAGAGTATCTTGAACATGCCCACGCCATATGCCGAAGTTGATACGTTTGTCATACGTGTTGCCGCTTGGGAGAGAATTCAGTCCTTCGCGTCAAAACCGCCGCCTTCTTGGGATCTCTCATGAACATCTTCGAGCCTCACAACGGCCAGGTACGAAGGTTTGGCTTTCCCAGCAATGGCTGACAGGGCGAGCTGGTGCGAACGTCCTCAAAAAAGCCCAGCTGTGAAGTTACCCCAGACAACGATGTGAACCTATGTGAACTGACTAGCAGAGTGTTACGACTTCGTAGGGAATGAGTGAACCAGCCACCCTCATGAATAACAAGTCGCAACTGACTCTCGTAGTATACTGTAAGTGGCGATTCTGCAGTCGACCAAACTCGTCATCGGCAGAGCAAACTCAGCGCCAAAAGCCGTCGTCTCGTGGTGCAGAAGTGTCTCGTCACCAGGAAAGCAGGGCGACTGTCTCACCCAGAAACCTTTACTTTTAGGCCAATCTTTCAGGTTTTCCAAAACAGTGAAATCCTCAGCAAAGGAGAAACCCCCACATATCTGAAAACCTACTCCATGTGGAACCCCAACCTCAAGGCTACAGAAAGAAGCACCAACGTGTTGAAACAAATTGAATCGTCTGCATGCTGCGGTTCCATACCCACTCCATTTCCATCTCTCTAAAACCTCTCCGCTTCAAAGAAATGGTTCAGTGAGTTTCACCGGTGAGCTGTTGAGAGCGGCGTAAGCTGGGCGCTCCCTGCTGAGGGTCTTCAAATGTGAGACCATCAGGAACGCCGAGATCAAAAGCACCGAAATCGCCACCTGCGAACGACGCGACGCCTCGCCGCCTCGCCTCGTCCACCGGAGAGTTCACCCTTTGAACGTCCTTTCTGAAAAAAAACAGTTCCAAACGGAAGTCCACCAAAGGCTCCCTATCCCAGACCATCCATGTCTGGATTGTATGACTACATTGATACCTGAAAACACCCCAATCTAGGTAAATAGGTCACACATGGATGCACATGGAGTGTCTGGGTGTGTTGCTTTGGAAGGATTTGGGCCACAAAACGTCACAAAACACTCCTATCTCGGATCTTCGAATCTTGACGAAGCAAGCTGCGGGGAGCCGATGAAGGAGCTGAGCTGAGCTGAGCTGACATACTCATCATGCTGGGTTCACATACTCCTCTGCCGCACACCTCTGTGAGTGATCATTATTATACAATGATCTCATGAATGTCATGGTCACGCTTTTGAAGGTTCCATGTGTTCGACGGTGTTCCAGCCTGATGCACCTTCCAGCCAAAGGGAATTCCATTGGAATCCAGCTGCCAAAAGAGAGGCAGCCTGGCTGGCAGCTTCGACTTGTTCCGCCGTGGTCAGGACGCAAGTAGACCGGGGAGCCACCGGGTGTTTTCTTAAGGTCCCGAACTACCAGCCTTGGTGCGTCCCTACCCATGGGAGAAGAAGTCCATGTCTTGATGAGCTCACAATAGCTCCCATGTCTTGAAATGGGCAGAATGCCCAACTCCCAAAAAATAAGAGGACAAGATGGACATGGACGTGTGAGGTGATGCCCAACTCCCCGTCTTTCTCAAAAACAAGAGGTGAAGCCCAACCGCCAAATCTCATCCTCACTTGACGCTGCCCCCGTGACAGCATTGTAGCATCCTAGCGTCTGCCACGGCCCACAGTGGTTTCGCTACGACGACCATGTGACCTAGCGTGCCTAGCGTGGTGAGCTCAGCCTTCAGTATCTTTCAGTCTGAACCCTGGCTAGAACTGCTTGACCACCTGTGCAACACGTTCTGTTGATCACCTGACAACATTCAGCTGAGCTATATCTGGGGGGGAGACCTCCAACGAATGGATAGGTGGATCTATTTTCCAAAGCTTCAATGGGATCGGTCTCCATCTTGGAACATCTTGGAACAGTGGAGCTACCCGCTACCCGAAGGCTGGGGTTCACCGGAAGTCAAGACGTGTGGGCAGCACAAGGCCAGCATGGCGCCCATGGGTGCCGGGACCTCATTCCGAGATGCACATTGGTTAGGGGTTGCGTTCGATGACCCTGAAAAAGATTTCCAGACATGGTTCAAAAAGATCATATAAACAATAAACAGCTATTATGGCATCCATCGAGTTGTCCCCTGGAATAATGATTTAACTTTTCAGTGCATCCCCTTATCAAATTGGACAAAGATTTGACAGAGATTTCCACCACCCCGCATTTATTACAGGAACATCTCTACCTGCAAGTTCACTGTGACACCTTCTTTCTTTATTGAAGTGTCCTATCCGGAAAGGATCTGGCATGGCTTCAGGCACCGAGGCATGCGACTCTTTGGAAGGGTTGGCCTGCTACAAGTACACGAAAGAAAACAAAGAATGAAACCAGTCAAGTCATGTCAAGTCCATACGGCAAAGCTGTCGGGATCTGCTTCTCTAGCAAACCTTTTGGTGGCTCTTTTATGCTCTTTTGGGGTCACTGTTTGGTGTCAGGAAAGCTTATTGCTTGTCTGCTTGCTTGAAGTGCAGCAGCTTCTTACTTTATGTTGGTATCGGGAGCCTGTGGTCCCCTGTTGAGGGTCCAAACACATTCTTTGGGAATTGCTCCTTGTATGTCACTTACCCCTTCTTCAAACTGTGGTTCTTGGGCAGTAGGCTTGAAGCCAGCTGAGCTGTCAGCCCATGTGCACTCCCACTTACTATATGACATAGAAGTGAACAAAAACACTGTGCGTAGAGCGAAATTGTCTTCCAGGAGTCTGTTTTCCACCTCCATGTCAGTGAGTCAGAGTGTGATATTCTATTTTAATCTATTTTACACCATGTCGTCATGTCGTATCCACACCACACCCAACCGTCCCAATGCCCCTAGAGACTGTGTTCCCTGGCGCCCGTGAAGAACTTGGACCGTGCAATGAATGCGCGTGGCACATCGGTGCTGCTGGTGTCGCTGCTGCTCTTGCCAGTGTCTGGCGTGAGAAGGTGTCAGCGCACCGAAGGAGACCGAAGGTGAAAGCTCAACAGGTTGGTATTTGCATGTCTTTCGCTTTCCTCTCTACCATTACATGTCTTAACATGTCTTACCTGTTTCTTTCGCTTTACATGTCTTTCCCTTTCCTCCAGCGCAAATGCTTTCTCGTGCCATGTCTTTCCATTTGCCCTTGGGGTCCTTTGCCATTGGCAAAATGGTCGGTCCGGCGGGTCTTCGGTCGGGTCGTTTGACGATGGCCATCCATGGGGGGTGACGAATGGCGATGGATCCGCTGAGTTTCCTGTGACGATGGTGACGCTGAGTTTCCTGTGCAGCGGCAGCAAGTCCTTCAATGCAAACACATACACACATACACCACATGTCCAAAACAATGATGTCCTGAGAAAAGAAAGAGGGGTGTACCATTCACGCATGAACCAAGGCCACAAAAGGCCATGATAACATGCCCAGACTTTAAACCACGCTTGTGTGCGTGAGCCGCTGTTGCTCTCACAACCCTGGAAGCATGGTTCATTGAAAAGCAGTGGGGATCCCGGCAGTAGCGGGAACCAAAAAAAACATGATGGGCATTGAGTCTTCACACACAGGTGCCTGGCCAAATCTCTCCATTGACGCTACTATTTGTGCTGTTGCTAGCTATACTGTATATACATATATATTATGTTGATAAAATGTTTCTGGACATCTCCTCAGGGTTTCTGGGCATCCCTCGGCATCTCTTCAACAGGAATTGACCTTATGAGGGTGGAATCTCCATCTTCCACCTCTCTAACCCCGTCATAAAACGCGCCTGGCTTTTCGAGCACCTCCCCTGGCTAGCGCAAGCAGCTGTCGTAAACACCCAGGTAAGAAGAAAACGACTCAAAGGGATGAAACGCCAATCCCTGGCTCATTCGCGGTTGCCTCTTAGAAGCAGCGAGTACAATTTGGAGTGTGACTGAAGAATCGTGGACAACCTTAGGGAACACAAGAACGCTTACACTGAGGAAAACACATGCAGAACCGAAGCATGAGAAAGCCCGTTGTATTCAACCCTGGAAAGCAAAGTACATATCACTGAGAGGTCAGTCACCAAACTGAGAGCTCCCGAACATCACCCGGAATCGCACGAAATGGGTAGGGGACAACTGTGCAATCATATGAAATTGCATGAAATGAACACATAAAATAACTTTAAAATGAATAATCCTGATAAAATCTGGCTCTTTCACACACGCACACACCTGATTCTGGAAAAGGCTAGTTCATGAATCACACCAGTCACTACGACTGTGAATGCTTGGCTCATCAAGAAGAAGACCTGTATACAGACCATTCACAGGTTTCGTGGATGGTTTATTTCAACCCGGTGCCGTGATTTCCTGGTGAGTTGGAATGACAAAACAGGGGGTCTCCCTCTGAGCGAGTTGAACCGCCCATGAATAGGACATAATTTCTAGATTCTAGCCCATCATAACATGTGAGAAGCAAACCAGCGACCGTTCAAATCACAAGAAGCTCCTGCATAGCAGGGCGCGTCATAGCAGGGCCCTTCCTGTCGATTCCGAATCATCCCCCTCGCGCCTGGGGGGGGGATGATAGGCCGGCCCACCCGGCGAGCAATTGAAGCGCGCCAGTCGAAGGGCGCAGGCCTGAAGATGGTGGGGTGACTTTGACACCAAGTGATCCTTTACAGAAGTATCTGTAGGACCTCACCAGAACTCAAGCTGTTTGGCCAATGTGAGTGAGCTGGACTGAAGTTAGCTGTTGCCCTGACACAGGACCTCACGGTGATTCTCAACACCCGAGCCATGCTGAAAACCTTGATAGATTCCTATGTCGTAAGAACTGCCTTACGCGAAAACTTACGCGGCGCTTACGCGACCGCAGTTTCAGCTTACGCGGGGGTGTTGCTTACGCCGCTGCTTACGCCACCTTACGCCATTGCAGGCTTTGCTTACGCAGCATCGATATGACATAACCTGGAAATGTCTGGCTTACGCGAAAGCTTACGCAGAGCTTACGCGACCGCAGTTTTAGCTTACGCGGGGGGAAGTTTTCAGCGTGGCTCACCCACTCTGAACATGATCATGAATCGTGAGTGTGTTTGAATGTATATTATATGTCCGTGTCCCGAAAGGCGACGATGTGCACTTCAATAGAGGGGGTACAATATGGAGATATTGAAGTGTCTGTGTTCTGTGTCGGACCTGATGCGCCTTTCTTCAGGTTCCAGATACCAGAAAACCGGTGTTCGTGTCACCCGGACCGGGATGACCAGGGATGGGTCGATGTCCTTTCCCATGCTATATTTTTTTGGGCCTCGTTTTGTTTGTTAGAAACTCTGCAAGGCTTCCCTTGTTGTTTGTTGTTGCTGTGCTCTGTTGTCATTGGGTGTCTTCCGTTGATTAGGAAAACATGCCCCTACACCGGCCTACACCTTTCCACTCCCTTCCTCGTCGGAGCACAGACGTGCAGCCTCTGGTGAAACATCCCGGTGCCACCTCGGTCCATTCGCACGGTCCCTCCGCTGCCCCGCCTGGCAGAAAAGGACGCAAGAGGCCCAAAGGCCGACATCCCAAGCGTCGCCTAAAGCGGCCGTCGGACTTGGTGACGGCCAAAAATCAGGCTAGGGAGTAGAGGACTTGAACTATACATGTTTTGCATGAGTTTGATGTTTATTTAGATGTTCCTTCATATTAATTGGACCAAAGCCATTCGATTTGATCTCAAGTGGTTCTTCCTTCTTGGTCGCCTGCCGTCCTGCCGTCCTGTGGCCCAACCCAACTCTCAAACCCTTTCGCCAGTGGAGCAGCGACATGATCCTGTCCACGACTGGGACCAGATCGTTTTTTTGACTCGGTGAAGGAACTGAAGTGGTAAGGAGTTGGGGATCGTTTTTTTTTTCTGCTTTTCGGAGCCGGGGTTAGGGACTGGCAAGAGGGGGATCCTCTAGCAGGGGAATCCTTTTTAAAGGTATATATTATTTATTGTTTAATCTTTACTAATGAATAATATATGTTGCATTACTACTAGTAGCTTCTTGTTAATGTCAACCTAGGATTAGGGAACCCCCCCCTATTAGTCTACCCAGCGTTCAGGCCCCAATAATAAACTAATTTGAACTACTAATTTCCACAATCACCACCCTCTAATAATTTTTTTTCTTGGCTGAACCCCCCCCCCTATTAGTCAACCCCCTGTCCTGCCAGGAAAAATATGGATCTCATGATGAAAGGGAATTAGTATTTGGGCTCTCATGGATCTCATCATTCCATCCCATCTCATCTCCTCCCCCTGTCATCATCAGGTCATCCCCACTATTAGGGGGATGTGATCTCCAAAACCTCCAATCTCAGACCTTGTTGACCTTGTTGACCTTCTAGGGGGGGGGGCCCTTTATTAATCCGACGTTGACATTACTAGTAACAACAATGCCCTTGTTAGCCCTTGTTACTAGTAGCGATGCAGCTTGTTACTAGTAGCTAAGGTGCCTTGTTCCTCGTATTTCATTTGAAACATCTCCCCATCTCCGAACAGCATGCGCCAGCCGCAGGCTTCGCGCCTGCGTCGGAGCCGCGCTGCTGATCCGCCCAGGCGAACATCACCAAGGCTGGTGCAACGCCGAAGTTCACCAGGTCACCTCTGTCACTGTGATTCGAAGGCGCACCATGGGTCGAATTGGAGGAGATCATTGGAAGATTGCCATATATTGCCGTATATAGAGGACGAAGTACTTGAAGACCTACAACTTGAAGGTTCCTAGATTTGAAGCACTGACTGAACTTGGTAGATGCTGGGCCCCTCCATCGTCACACGCATGATCCTTTCCTTGTGGAAATACTTCACTGAGTTTACTGGGTTTACCCACTGTAATTACTACTTAAAAGTGTTTAAAGGTTGCTGCATTCTGCCTCAAACAGTCGCTCCATGTAAGATTCCAGACCCAACAATTTGGTTTTCAGGGTCGCGCGATGGCTCCATGGATTGTGGGGGCATCAAAGAAAGTTCCAGCCTTGCAAACGAATACACTTCTCTTCATGGTAGACACAGGTAGGATGGCACCTAGTGGGTAACTTGAGTCCCACCTTGAAAATGAAACCCCATGGGGAGACGCTGTCCTTTTTCTTGCCGGAAAGGGCTCAAATCGATGGACTTCTTTTCAGAGTTAGTGAAGTGAGACTTGAAACTTGACCAGTACAGTGCAGATTCAATGTCGAGACCCCCAACATTGCCCAGAAAACAATGGTTGGGGGGGTCGATCTATTCAAACACACACCAAAAACGATTTCCTTATATAGATTGGCTGGGACAAGCCAGCACTTTGTAACCCACCCTGAATTCATGTTGGTGTAACAACAAGCTCAGACCTTACTCAAGTCACAATCCGAAGATCAGAGCCTCCAAGAAGCCAATTGGACAGGGATGGTGGCCATACCGCTCTTTCATGCGCATGGATCCCCCTTTCAACAACTGGCTCCATACCAACAGAAAGACAACCCGCACAGGTTCAAGCCATGGTCATCTCATTCTCATTCTGCTCTGTACGCCCTTTCCAAGCGGCCAAAGCTCCACATCTACATCTGGTTCACTGCCTCAAAGATTCTTGAGTAGGTTGGAGGCCATCACTATTAGGTTGGAGGCCATCGCTGGTTCACGGCCTCACCTCACCAAAGATTCTTAAGGTCTCAAGGGTCAGCGAGTGGCAATGCTGGAAAAATGAACTGCAAACGTCTCCCTTCCGGATGGCTGGATTGAGACCCAATGCGTCGAAGGAACGCAGATCGGGTGAAACCGGTCCTTTCAACATGCCCTCAAATAGGCACCACGCTTGCTGCCATTGACCACCCTTCTTGTAGGCATAGATGGCCCCATTGTAGCTGATAGCATCTTGTTGAACTTTCGCCTCATGCATACCATTGAAGAGGATTAATGCCAACTGCCATCTCCCGGCCTTTTCACAAACAGAGATGGTCGTATTGTAAGTTATCAGAGTATGTTGAACTTTAGCCTTGGGCATTGCTTCAAAATAGATCAACGCTTGCTGCCATTGCCCTTCCTTCTCACAGGCGCTGATGATGGTGTTGTAGCCAACAACATCGGGCAAAACTTCTGACTCTATCATAGATTCAAATAGACTCAAAGCTAGCTGCCATTGCCAAGCCTTATCACAAGCAAGGATAGCAGCACTGTAGCTGATAACATCTGGCTCAATCTTGGCCTCGGGCATAGCCTCCAACAATTTCATTGCTTCGTACCAGCGTCTTCCGGTTTCACAGGCACTGATGGTCGCATTGTAGCTCAAAAGATTCGGACGAATCACCCCTTCCGCTCTCAGCATCACTTGAAAGACCTTCAACGCCAGTTGCCACTGCCCTCCCTTTTGACAGGCACTGATAGTGGCATTGTAGCTGATGACATCTGGGGGGGGCTCTGGCCTTGGGCATCATCTCGAACAAAAATAAAGCTTGCTGCCATTGCCCACCCTTCTCACATGCACTTATCAACGCATTGTAGCTGATGACATTTGGTTGGACTTTTTCTTTGGGCATCCGTTCAAACAATCTTAATGCTAGTTGGGTGTTTCTGCCCTTCTCACAGGCAGAGATGGCAGCGTTGAAGCTGATCACGTTGGTCTGAACTATCAGATCAAGCATCGCCACCAAACACTTGAAGGCTCTTCGCCATTCTCCTCCTTTCTCAAAGGCACTGATCGTAGTGCTGTAGCTAAACACATTTGGCTGAACAGTCGCCGGGGACATGGCAGAAAACAAGCTCAAGGCGCTCTTCCATTGTGTGCCTTTTGCACAGGAACTGATTGTTGCACTAGAAGTGATAACATTTGGCTCAATTGTTCCAGTCCGCATCACATCAAACAACTTCAAGGCTTCCTGCCATCGTTTTGACTCGGCATAGGATGAAATTGCCACCGTATACTGCGAGGCCTGGCTCTCAAGTGATGACTTGGTCAGAGAAATCAGCTCAGCTTCCGAACTTCGGATTGCAGGCTCAAGCTTCGCGTTCTCAGCGTTTCTCCTCATGAGATCTACGCAGCGGAAGCGCCAGCCGAGTGCTCTGCACTCGACAGCGCCGGGGCGGCTGCGGCGACAGCGTGAGGTGCCGAATATCAGCGTCTGCGCTTGGTACTGTACGACTGTTCTGGATAGGTTGGAGATCTGGTTCCTAACACATAGATGGCTGTTTTTGGTCTCTTGAGTCTCTTGAATCTTCCACAAGTTCTCAAGATATGCAGGTAAAACATGTTCCTTCCTTGGAACCTTGCGTGCAGGGCAAGCACCCTTGAACACTTGAAACCTTTGGCCATTTTCTACGAGTACTAAATTCAAACAACACTTGCACCTCTCACCCAAACCTGACCTGGGTTGCAGCAGGCCATCCTACAACCTTTCTCCGATCCCAAATTCAACAAACATAAAACATCACCGACATCCACACCAAATCGACCCACACCCAAATCCCTCCCCCATCACCTACACTCCCAAAAACATCCCAAAACAACCTCCTGTCCTGTCACCTCCCGGTCCTTCACCATGTCCACCATGTCCACCGGCACCGGGCCACCCACCGCGCTCCACCCACCGCCACCCTCACCGGTCCGAGGAGCCCAAGGAGTCCAATTCCCCACCGAAGACGCTCACCGCGTCCAACAACCTGCACGGCGAACGCGACTCGGACGGCGAACTGGGCGAACCCCCAGGGTACCGACGAGGTCGGGTTGGTCGGATAAGTGGGTGGGGGGGCTCTCACATATTGGGGGGGGATGGGGGGATGGGAGATCTGGTATTTAAGGTTCTTGGATTCTTGGCACATGTTTAGGATATGACGGGTCTGTCTGGATTGGGGTCTATGGGGTGTAGGGTATTTTGGGGGGAACAGGTAATATCAGGTATGTCGGGAGAAACCTCCAAGCTGCGAGTGAAGCGGAGGTGCATAGGTGGAAGCCATCTCCTGTATGAGTTGCCAAAACCCTTTGTGCCACCCAAACCTGCTTTATGCTCTGCACTGGTGGTTCGTCTTCCAGTTCAGCCTCCGAACCCGGTCCAGTTCACCGACGCCTGGCGACGTGACCATCCAAACCATCCAAGACCGCAGCTGCGATGATCAACCTGGACGTGTATTTCATGTGTGCGCACGGGTAGGCGCACGTGGGTCAGGTGTGATGGGCTACCTGTGGGTCACACATATGTATGTCTTTAGATAGTGACGGACAATCACTATATATACTGTATAATTATACAGTTCTATTACAAATATATGTATAAAACTATATTATGCATTATTATGCAAACTAGATATGGCATTCTTCCCTAGTGCTGGAGGCTTTCTTTTTGATCTTGGATCCAGACCCAGCTGCTGAGGACCACTGCTGAGCAAAGGCCACCCCTGTAGGCAGCAAAAGTGAGGTCGCAGCATTTGTTTTTTTTGAAAAGCAAGGGAAAGGGATGAGGCCTGTCCTCCTGGTAGGACTTGAGTAGCAACTGCTAGGACTTCCGTTACAATCATGACAGTCTCCCGCTCAACCACCCCTACATCAAGCTCCGAAACCAGTCAAACATGTGGTCGTGGCCGCTGTACAAACTGCCACTGCTGGTTCTCTTCTCTTCAATCTTTTGGGTGATGCTTCAAACGCATGAATCTTTTAAAAGCAAAGCTTGGCTGAGATTCTAAAAGGCAGTTGCAATGCCCTGATTTCAGCAACCTATGTTGAAAAATATTGGAGCATCAACTGGATTCACAAACATGGAGTCCACAATTTACACAGAACAAATTGACATGAAATCCATCTGGAACCAAATACTCGAGGCTCGCCAAAATGTTCTTCCGGAAATTGTGCCCAGTGCTCAGTGAATCTGCCACTTCCCAAAATGGGATCCGACTTCGCAGCGGCTTCGTCCACTTCGACTTCGTGTCCTCGTTTTTAGGGTGCCGGGCGCATGGCGGTTAAACTGCAGGCGAGGGCGCCCAAGGTCAAAACCTCGATTTGGATGGTGGACAGGAGTTCTTTTCTTTCTGCTGAACAGAAAGGATGAACCACCGCACCCGAAGGGAAGTGTTCATGTCTTCACCACCAGGGCTTGAAGATAGCAGCTTCAGGATGGGTCAAATGGTACTTGACTTTTGGTTGGTGGATATGCTGATCGCCTTCGTGTTCTACCTAATTATAGTGTGCCTAATCAAAAAGCAATTACTATATATAGTTATAGAATATACATTACATATACTATAATAGAGAAGACATGAAAGACTCTGGAATCATCGAGTCATTGCATCAACTGAAAAGCAGGCCACCTGGAAGACCCCCCAGGTCGCACCGAACCGAGTGACCCTTGTGGCGCTGCGTCGCGTGGTGCGAGAAGGGTAGACCGTGAACCCAGGGGACGGAGGTTTTTTCTCGATCACACCAGCTATATAACCTTGGCATACCGTGACATGTGGCCTTGGACGGGGAACTTTGCAAGTCACGAGTCCCTGTCAGTGCGAAACTCCCTGCCAGTGAGGGGTGGAATCAGCATCATCTGCAGTCTGCAACCACCAAGGGTTCCCGCAAGTATGATACACGACTTCTGTGTTTCCTTGATCACCCTCTTCAGAAGCCGACCCGACCAATCACTCTGGGCACCCATGCACATAGTGGCCACAGTAATCGGTAAGACAAGGGCATAAGCATGTTGTTTTGGTCGCCGGCAAAAAGACAGCACGCATCTGGCAGGCTTGTGGAACTGGGGCTTGATCGGAACCGATGCTGATGCCGCCCCTGACGCACATCCGTGTACTACACGCTTTGACGTCCCAGGAACTGATGGGGCTGCCAAGCAAAGCCATCCTGGAGCACCAGACTTCACCTGGAAGCGTGCACGAAGAACCGTGGACAAAAACCGGCGGACTGGAGCCTTGTTTTTAAATGAACTTGGCTGTGTTGGTGACTCTTATGATCAATTGTGGATTGTGGCACCTGGTTGCAAGTTGCTCCAAGTGCACAAACTTCCAAGCTTTGACCAAAACCAGTATTGGCCCCCCCAAGTAGAAAACACTTGTTACTTTTTAGCATGTTTTTCTCAACTTAAAAGCTTCAACGGTTGATAACATACCGCTTACGGGTGGTCCGAAATTGAATACAGTATTTCTTACAGCAGGTCAGTGCGAGAAGCATACCAGACCCTCTACAGTAAACCCACCCAAAACACCTCTCCGAGCACCTGTAGGGCCGTAGGGAGTTTTGGGATCCGTAAAATTGTCGAGTTGGGTTTGGTCAAGCATTGCAGCAGGCTTTCTTTACCCAAATGTCACTCACTCTAGTTTGACCAAACGGACCCCAACCTTTTTCTCTGGGTCCAACTCAACCCCTTTGAGTTTCACTCCCATTTCCGCCAAGGGGTATACAATGGTATACAGCTATCCCTAAATTCCTTGAACACTGTCAGCCACCTTCTCAACATCAGGGCCCAACCCAACCACCGGGGGCTTCATAAGGCGGAAAAGAAGAGAACACCGCACAGCATATGTACAAAAGCACCATCCACTTTGGATGGTTATTGAATTGATCAACCAATGGTCAACAGGGGTCAATCAATGGGCGGTGCTGGTACACAACTTGATCCTCCAACATGCAGAGGTATCCTTCAACATGTGTGTATTACTACTGGGGACCCAAAACGAAAAAGAAAAAGACCGCAAAACGGCACGCCACAGCAGCCCCCTGGGCGCCACAGCGGCCTCCGTCATGTCGGAGGTCGCTGTAGGGTGCAGGAAGTGCACCAGCAAGTCTTAAAAGGGGCCGAAGGTCAGGCAGTTCCCAGCGAGAAGAAGTGATGAAACATGTTTGAACTGTGTTTGAAACGTCGGGATCCTTGAAGAATCAGTTCGATGATGACTTGTTGCATGATATAGCACAATTGTATAGAGTGTTTGGGGTATGGAGGACTATTGCATATTTATATTAACCTGGCATACATACCAGTCTGGGATGTATAGGTAAAGGATTAGACGACCGGAACATGAATGAGTGGATGAGTGGTGGATGCAAAAATGCCTTTAAGCGACTGGAAAATCTCTACTGTGCTGTGAGCCGAAAAGCAGCGGCCCAGCAGGGCTGCAGGTGAAATCCGCACCACTCACCACCAAAGCCTAGAGCTGCATTCATGCCAGAAACCTCTTCTATGGTCACCACTGAATGAATAGCCTCCAGATCACCACCAACCCGGCTTCCAGGATTCAGCTTCCAAGGAAAACACCCTGTCAGCCAAATCTTGTGCAAATCAACTTTCCCAGAACTTCCAATGACTCGTCTTACCATGTTTTACCCATCTGGTAGTCATGATCCACCGCTTGTTTAATCTTCTTATATTTCAGGAAAATGAAACCATACACCAGCAAACTGAAGGACTCCAATCACTGCCATCCACTTGCCACGCTTTTCTCCTTGCGCACCGAACTTGTCTCCCTTGCGCCCGGCCTCTCCTTGTCGCGTGTCGCGCGATGGACCAACGCGCACGAGGAGGCGCCGTTGAAGTGCCCCCCCAGCGGCGGTCAGCGTCAGGATCCCCCCCAGGCGAGCAAAGAAGTCACAGAAGGTGAAGTCCTTGCCATGAGGTTCCAAGTAGCCTGCAGCCCAGAAGTCCCACCCACTCGCAGGCAATTTCCGCAGCAACTCGGTCAACTTCCCGGAGGTCATTGGGTTAGTTCGGGGACCAAACAAGTCGAAGAGCGAAATAACAACAGCCAACAAAAACACACCTCAAATGTCTAAAGTATATTATGTTTTTAGTAGATCTTCTTGGGCTTCTTTGTTTCTTTTTTCTCTCTCTCTCTCTCACCCTAGTCTCCCCCGAGTCCCCGTCAGTCCGGTCCTTTAAAACGCCCCCGCTGCCCGTCAGTCCCGTCTGCGCCTTCGAGGACGAAGAGGACCACGGGCAGCGCCGGCAGCGCCAGGTCCGCGCGACTCAACGGGTGCAGCGACGTTGAGTCGCCGCGCGCGTCAGCGAGCGTGCGAAAAGGGGCGAGCCTTGGGAGAGCGAGCGAGCGGAAACCAAAGAACCACATGTGTTATGGAGATCAGGGTTTAAATGGGCCCTCAAAAACCCATGTAAATCATGGTACATCAACATATTATTTTTATCCTGCATGATGTTCCCAGATTGGTCTGAAAGAGGCTATTCAGCTCCGGAGAAATCAAAACGAACAGTCGGAACATTGTGGTCGGTCATTGCGTGGTGGGGAGAGACACTGGACATGCTCCCGGCCTTTCTCACATCTGGAAGTCAATAGGAAGCATATCCACTGACCTCCAAACTAAAAAAGCTCAGTGGCTGTCTAAGGCCTTTTAAGGGAGATCAATTGAGGGCCATGGTCTTGCTGTGTCGGGGATTACTGTATTCTCCAGAATGATCATTGGGATTCTTGATGTCTAGACTCTAGACTGCACACTTTCACCCATTGGAAGAACGTTCCACCTTTTCCATCAATGACTCGAGACTGCAGATTGACTGGCATGCCACGCACACATTGTTTTGATTTCTCTTGTCCATGCTTGGTGTGCATGGGGGATGCCAAGACATGTGACATGTGGGAGTGTATTATTTTCCCGTTCCCGGGCCAGGATGTTTGATTATGGGATATGCTTCAGGGTATGCTTCGCCTAAGTCGAACATGCCAACTCTGTGTAAACTGGACATGTCAAAAAGTACAATCCAATGTGACAATTCTGTGTGACCCTCGTTTCACGGTCCTCCGGATGACATCCTTCGAGATGCGACGCCAAGAGGAGCGGCCACAGAAGGCCCTTCGAGTATCTCTTCATCGCGGGCGTGAGCATGGATAGCTCCTGATGATGTCACGCACCCCTGGATGCGTGGGTAATCACTGAGTTATCACTGTGTAGACTACCCAGGCGGGGTCGGAACCTCCATTTTCTAAAAGGACATGCACACTCAGTGGCTCCAGGTCTTTCTTTTTGGTGCCAACCAGCAGGTCTGACCGCTGTCCTCCGGATCGAGATAGAGCAGTGCCAAGGCGATGCCGGACAGTGCCACCGCTAAAGACTTGGTTTTGAAGTTCATGAGCACCACTGAATCCAAAGAAAGGATCGAAGCAGCGGCCAGAATCAGCGCAGATTGAACACCCAAGTCCTGAGTTGCAACAACTGATTCAGTTTTCGGAGGTTCCTGCGAGATCTTCTAGTGAAGGACTGCAATCTGCAAGAGCAAAAGTAACAGGTAGCTCCATTTATACAATATAATATGTGTGTGTTGTACTTGAGTTGTTTAAAGGCTCAAAGGGCTCTCTTGTGCAATGCAACCCCACAGCAAGGAACTGCAAGACCAGCAACATTTGGTTTTATGCCCCACCAATATCCATCCCCACGACAAGGACATTGGCTTCTTAGGGCACGTTCGCCTACGCTGGCCCCCCGAAGCTTGTGAGCTTTGCCATGTCCATTCTCAGTCCAACCTGTATCTCAGTCTCTCTAACCAGCATTGACCACCAAATCCATATCATCAAGTAGGTGGTTGGAAATAATTTCACGTGGGCAACCCCAAAGAAAAACAATGTGTTTCCACTACCAGTATATAAGCAAGACTACAGCGTAAACCTAACTTCCTTTGTGGGTATCTGTATAGCAGAGTTTTGCACACAGAAGTAATTAACGTGGTGATAAGGAAGTCAGTAGATTGGACTAGAGTTAATCAAAGCTTCAGACATTCTTGCATGTTCGGCACTTTTCAGTTTTCTGTATAATGTTGTTCACCCTGTAGAAACCCACTCAAACACATTTCCACCGGCCTGCGCCAAGAACGACGGCCCTGCCAGCATCGGCCATGCAGCAGCGCTCAAGGCGGCCAAAAGTACAGCAGCCATCGGTTGCCAAGAGGCCTGGACTAAGACGAAGTGACGTGGGCAAAAAAAGGTTATCACCAAGGGGATTCACCCAGTTCGGGAAAATACAAATCACATCAAATCACCCTATCAGCAAAACCAGGAACATCTTGGGGAATCAGGTTGGACCGCTTGGACCTTTGGAGACCTGCTTCAGAAGCGGGGTCAAACTGAACAAAAGGTCAACCGGGAATCAAGTACATACCTGAAGAATCCTGAAGAACCCTAATGTACACTCTTCGATTTCTTGAATTGATGCTGTCAAACTGGCCACATACTCCTTTTCATACTCTATAGGGAACATATCCTGCAGCAAAAAGCAGTGCAAATGGAGCTGCTGAACAAAGAATTCCCAGCTGCTGAATGTTCGGAGACACGAGCTGAACAGGCTGGAGGACCTTTGAGGCCAAAAAAAGCATCAGCCGGTAGGGAATCTGTTGGAAGCTCCGTGCACACCTGGTTACCAGGGGTATACTTGGAAGTGATAACATCGCCTCTTAAGTTTGCAGTTTGCTGAACAAAAATCAAACTCCTCCAAGACTGGAACCAACCTGCCGCTGTCCCGGGGGCCCTTCCCTTCATCCCGCTCATCCCTTCCCTTCCGTCCGGCCAGAAGCATCATTGGCAGCGTCGCAGCTATATACACCAGCTCTGTTCGGAGGCGCAGCAGGTGCCGGCAGTCTGAGGGCTGAGGTAGTTTTAGGCCGAGTACACTCTGAGCATATCGGAATAAGGGGTTTTCCAAATACAAACAAGAGGTTATCCAAGTGACATGTTGACTGTTGTAAAGCAACCCCGGCTTCCAGGACGGTTCTACAATGTTTTACATATCCATATATGGGGAATTTTACAGGTTAATGGTCAACATGAAACTCTGACGAACGCATCACATGGTTTAACAGTAGACAATCCCTTAGACTCTTAGACCTTCCTTGACATGAGGGAAACTATGCCATCGAGGACAGTTGGCTCGTGGCTCGTGTGCAACCCTTCATTCTGCCGACGATACCCAAAAGCTCGCTGAAGAAGCGCCGCTTGCGATGTCCCGAAAACCGCGCCTCGGCCAGCGAGCAAAAGCAACGGCTCATTGGCTTCGTGGAAGCAGCCGCGCCAGTCGTGGAACCACGCGCCCTTTGAGAAGACATTCACCGTGAGCCTCGAGTTCGAGCGCCCATGGACCAATGGATGAGGTCGGCGGTTGGAGTGAAACAACTCACTTTCTTATTGGGATGGGTGTGGATCCGAGAAATCTATGAACCATGCGCCGGTTTTTTTCTACATGTCAGGGCCCCAATCAATGCGCCAATGTGGATCCATATCCAAAGAACAATAGCGGCAATAACAACTTGCTATAATTTGCCCTCTTGCTGCAAAAAAGATATTTTCTCTAGTGCTCCTCCATTAAGAGTTTACATACTCGAGTCCAGTGTTGTTGCTGCTAAGTGACTCCTGTAGCTGGCGCGTGGCCAGCTGCCAAGCTCCGAGGATCAAAAGCAGTTGAAGGAAACGGATCAGGAGCACATGACTTGCCTCCCAACACGACACTTAGACCGGTCGCAACCACGGTGCTGGATCCATCAAACTGGCGGTCGCGTACGGTCCTCCCGTACACGGTGCCTTCAATGGATTCCAATTGTATCTCAGCTTCGGTCCTATGCTGGTATATATATATATATAAAGCTTACATATATCGTAATCATCCATGAACACGAATGAACATTACATAAAAAATACGTAAAAACCATCAAAAACTGTTGTAAACCGCACTGTAAACCGCTTGGAGCGATGTGAACCCATCCTCTTTATCATGCGTGCTACCACAAGGACCCGGACCCGGACCAAAGCGGAGTACGACGGCTGTTCGACTCGTTGTTGTTGCGCCTGGGAGTGGACTCGTGCAACGAGACCCAAACGGAGGACTTGAAACGCCAGGAGAGCCTGGAACACCGAGAGAGGCGGCGAAACGAGAGGCGAGGGCGGCTGGAGACCCCGACATCCGGAAAACCGGGCCTTGTCCTGATGAAAAAAAAAGACACCACACGGTCACGATGCGCCCCCCCTTTTTTAGTTGGATGTTGTTTAGGAGAAAAGGTTCGACTTTGGACTCTGGAGTGATGTAAGTTATTCAGACTCAATGACATCTTTCTTTCTCCCGTGCCTCGTAAGTACCTACGAATTCAGAAATGTCTTGGTTCTGTAAAGCCTGGGACAGATGACACACGGAGATCACTGGCCTCCCAGGCGATCCCTCCAGCAGCTTCCACCCGGGAGAAGGATAGCCTTTGCGAAAGCAAAGGTCGTGGTTCTTCCGCGTGGATTCATGTCTTGTGCGGTTTGGAGGTTTATTGTTCAGGTATACGATGGTATACGGGTATTGTTCAAGAAATCCATGTGTTCCTGTTACAAGTAAACTAGTTCCTGTCGAGAAAAAAACACGTTTAAACAACTGAAAGCGTTCTGACTGACTGCACCTGACTAACATGCTCCGAGTGATCGATCGTTCTTCAAAATCAAAGGACATCGCACAATCTGATAGCCAAATCACACGGACCAACATCTTATGACCTTCCTCCCGCTTTAGTTCACAATGAATGATCTGTTGAATTCTTGTGATACAGCAATTTGAAGTTGACCAATGGCAAAAAGGACAAGCAACTAGGAATCCTCGGGAAACCGGAAATGAAGATAGAGTGCCGGATGTTCAACTTTCGGAGCTGAAATGAGAATGCATGGAAATGCATGCAAAATAAGGAATCCATGTCCCCAAAAGGGTCAAACAATCCAACCACTGACGGGTGTTTGTTTGGGCAATCTCTCCAAGAAAGCCAATCCAATGCAGATCATCAATCTTCATCCGGTCGGGCATCCCCATGTCGAGTTGCATGTTTTGCTGAAGCCACTCGTACATGTTCCAGCGCGTGTAGACCATGACCTATCAGATCTTTCTCATGTAAGCAGGCATGTTCGGCGTCTTTCTTTACATGTGAAGTGTCATCTCGGTGGGAATTCGAGCATTGATTCAATTCTAAACCTGTATGTTCCCCGCTTGGTATCACAAGAGCAACTTGAACTTGAAACATAAGCGTGACATAGGACCACTAGGATGTTGGTCCCATATGGTTTTCTCGTCAACTCGAAGCTCTGATCAAGCACGGTATCCCTATCTGCTGGCGGGACACCACAATCGAACATCCAAACAACACACACAGCAAACAAACACCCTATCTTCTGCTGGGTATGATATGGTATCCCTATCAAACGAACAGCCATCAAGTACCTTTTGTCGCAGTCCTTCCTTGGTTTTACCGCTTCGGAATCACACCGAATAGACCGTGACCGGCTTCAGGTCAAAGACCGAAGACCACAATGCCGTGGGTCACGGGGTCACGTGGGTGATGATTTGGTATAGTGACCTCATAACAGTTCCAGCTTGGGAACCGCCGTCAACATCATACCCTTTGTTTGGAGATTCCTCTTTCAGCAAATCCATACTTGTAAACATTCACACCACGAAAGTGAGGCTCTCCACAATCTCAAAGCAACATCTCCCAGCAAGTTCTCCCCTCCGCCCAAGTTCTAAAACCAATAAGTTCAGTATATATACTTGACAATTTGAGCAAACAAACACACACGCAAACAAAACAAGAACGCGAATCTCCACCCAAAATTCATGAATCTGTATCCTCGTCGTGTCCGCCCGCAAAACGGCCTCCTGAGCTGCTACCAACGCCACCAGAAGCCAGCTGAGCCAGGAGTCACCCGTTGACGAGTCAACACCCGGGGCCTTGCCGAAAGGGCTAATGACTGAAGGAAGAAAGGCACCACCAGTCAGTGGAGTCTATTTACAGTGGGAATCTATTTACAAAAGGCTGCTACTGTGGGAGTCTATGCCACCAGTGAGTCCGGTGGCAAGTTCCGTGGAAGAGTCACACTGAAGTTGAGAAGGTGAAACCATCGCATTCCCAGCCATCGAGAAACCCCGAATTCCATCACTGCAGATGGTCAGATGGTGAAACTTGCCGAGAGATGACGGTTGGCACGCACATTCATTACCACTCTGTATCTCTGTATGATTCTGCATGCATGCTATATTGTCAAACAATCATGTTCAACAATCCTTTAGGGATTCAGCTTTCTCGGTTCTTGTCCTCACATGTTCTGATGTCTTCCCTCGTTTCGAGTTGGATTCACAGATCCGTCATCACAAACGACGCCAGCAAACGCAGTTCTCGCACCTCGCACAGAATCAGTAGCAGTAGGACCACAAGAAGTCCTCAGCTTGTGCTGCCTACTGGGACTGTTAACACAAATGAGAGCTGTCCACACATGGGAAGCACTGAAACCATGGGAAGCTTTCATAATAGACCAACCCCTTCACACATGCAAATATACTGTTTACTATTTGTTAACGGAACAGAAGCTTCAATGATCATTGCATATAATGACTTAAGAATCTTAAGAACACTTAAAGCTTTATCCTGTGGCCATCTCGCGCGGAAGAACGACCGACCCATGGCCCTCAGTTCGTCCATGGCTCCCACTTGTCCGGCTGTCAAGTCGGTGAAGCTAAAGCTGAGCTCCTTGTACCTCAGCTCTCGCTCTCTCGAAGCTGTGAGGAAGAGGATTAAGGCGGAATCCTCTAAAATCGAGCACGTTCTTCAGGTGGCTCTGGTTCAAATTCATTACCTTAGGTTTTTTTCATGTTTTTCTGCACCGGAACAAACCACGAACGCTTCGCTCAACCCAGGGTCCAACCGGGCTCCGGAGGGTTCCGGTGGTCTCTCCACACCGAAAAACCGTTGCACACCGCTTTTGCTCGCTCGATGGAGCTCCACGACGGTGCTCCGAGGCGACGTCGATCCTCTCTTTGGAGGACGTCGAGTGGCGAGGTGCGCCGGTGGCTGTGAAGATGCGACCCCTGTGGATGCGTGATGGATGGGAGGCTGGCGATAGAGACGCAATCCCCTCAAAAAAGAGCCAGGCTACATTCGGCGAGGTTTCATGAAACACTCGGCGAGGTTTCATGGCCTCTAGAATGTCCAATCCCTTTGACCCAAGAATCTCTACACATCAAGAAAGAAAGCTCGGATCCAAGGACAACAAAGGTTTGGACTCACATCGTGGGTGGTCTGAGACCTCAGTGTCGGCCAGAAAATCACAGCGCTTTTCGCAAGGTTTTGGCTGCTATAGCCCTGCCTTTTGGAGGACGATGGCGACAGCAACACGAGGCCAACTCTCAACGACACCAGCTGTGACCACTACATACGCGGACCGCGATCTCATCTTTTTCATTCCAATATTTCACGATCTGAAAGAAGGACACCCCCAATCTCGAGACCTTCTTGTTGCCATCCCTTCGGCGACGAGCGGCTCATGCAGGCGCACCGCAAACTGCAGCCCACTGCGCGCTCCCACATCAAAGAAGTGCCTAGGTGAGATGATGAAGTCAGAGCATAATGATGAAATGTGTGAAGTCTTCTAAAAGCCCTGTACTCACACCACCTATATGTGGACTTATGATGTGCACTTGTGATGCACTCAAGCAAACATCAGCTCGACTTGTTCTCTGATGATCAAAAGTAGATAGAAACAGCCAAACACTTGTTAACAGCGCTTTGGACATGTTCAAGTGACTGACGGTCCGTGAGACTTTCTCAGTGTATGTGGATTCTTAGAGTCGCGACCTCAAAATGGAGACTCTTAAGGTTCCTTAAGCACCGAGTTACAGTGGTTTCGGAGTAGATGGCACAAACTCAATGATGTTTGTTGAATTAGGGTCCACATAAACCACCTTTTGAAATCTCCGAAACCACTGCAAATCACATCACTTTTTCGCTGGGCATCCCTTATCGTCCACCTGTGACATGGTGACATGTTTGACTTGTCCTGTGCTTTGTCTGCTCCAAAAAAAAAAAACTTGCAATCTCTTAGAGCACTCTGCCACTCTGCTTCACTAAGAAGTGGACTATGGCACCGAACGGAAGACTACTTGCCTTCACCAACGGAAGGGTGGGGTGCCACTTCCATGTCGTTCGTCGGAGTGCAACCGTCACTCGGTCGGGCTGCAAATGGGTGAAGAACCACAACACCTGGCTCCAATGGGAATCAAAAGCACATCGGTCCAGGTTGTTTTCTTCACTTAAAGACCGGTGACGATGGTTCGGAATTCTGGATGGACCGAAGCATGGTGCTTTGCCTTGCTCTCTGAGGGCAATTCGGGGATTGGAAGCAACGCCCCTGCCCAAGGCTCAGCAAAGTTTTGTCCCACCTGCTTGGCTCTGCCCCTTCTGCCTGCCCCGAGGTGCTTGAAAAGCGAGGGGAAGACGGTCCACGTGATCTCGTCTTCGTTACCTTAGACAGAGACATCACAAGGGCAAGGCTACCTTAGACGTCCAGGCTTAGGTACCTAGTTCAGCTACCTGCTGAAGGTTTAGGTACTCTCGTCAAAGGAGCAGAAGCTATACCAAATTTCTGAAGACCCGTGGCATAGGCAACGCAGCAAGAGGAACACACAAAATACCCACAACTGCAAAGGAGTTACTGACACATGTCACATGTTCATACTTTAGTCCTTTGGAACTTTGGTCTACCTTTATGCTTGCTTTTCTTTGCCCTACCCTGCTTGGACGACATGTCACAAGCGGAAGCAAGGCGTTGGCGTATCCAAGCGTGCCTGCTTTATTTTAAAGTATCGGGCATTGGCTGCATTGAATATACGTGCATCCTCCTGAATGGTCTCTTCAAAGTTAACCTGTTGCAGTTTTCTTCATAAACATAATTTTTGGTGTAATGCAACCAGTTTTGTCTTGGTCTATCGTACATTTTTCTTCATATGGGACGCGGTTCACTGACTTTGGTTGAAAGGACATTTGACGTGGACGCGGGTCCTGTTGAGTGGTTCTGGCAAGATATGTCCCAAACATGTTTGCCTCGCCTTACTTATTTGAAAACCAGTGCTTTCTTCAGGCAGATCAGGCATGATGACATCAACGAGAAGGAACCGCTGTCCAAGGCCACCCTGCTGTCCAAGGAACAGCTGGCAGGGACACAAACACCCAGATCCTTGGGAGAAATCGATCAGAGCCAAGAGGGTCAAGTCACAAACGAGGGGTATCTGATGGGATCTGTATAGGGCACAAAATACAGGAGGTATGTTCTTCCAACAGGTTAATTTCGGAGGGATTGGAGAATTGACGTGTGTCTCCCTCTCTCTCTCTCTCTTCTTACACATGGACTATGTCAGCACATGGTTCTTGTGTACCTTTCATCCTTCATGAGCATGGCCATCCGGCTGCAGTGGGCATGTTTTGTGGTGGCTTCTACGTGGTTCATGCACATTGGTTTCAGAGTGGATGGCCGTAGATGGCACAACTCCCAAGTTGGGTAATTAGTTGATATAGATGGACACCAAAAAACAAACATCTTTGGGTTTGTACCGTCTACTCTGAAACTACTGAGCCCTGAGCTGTAGAATCTCTCTCGTCTGAGGAGGGCCACCTTGTCGCAAGGAGAGCTCAGCTCCTTTCAGGTACTCGCGACCCTGCCGAATTGGTTCGACCATGGTTCTAACATTTGGTTTCAGGTTTGCTTCATGTGTCGTGTCCATTTTCATGTGTTTCTAATTTCTATTCCTGCTCTTCTTTCCATTTCCTTTTCATGTTCCCTTTCCTCTTCCCTTCCTTTATGACACAAGCAAAGGACTTTCCTTGACTTCAACAAAACACAGCCTCCAGGAGGCAGGAGCAGGGGTGGGAGAAAAAAGGTATCTCAAAAAGAACATCACAATCCATTTTGCAAAACCAAACCTCATCAAAGTAGTTACTGTACATCCTTGTTGCATTGACTCTTCCTAGGTAACCTTCATAAATACAATAACAAAGAACCTTTTGTAGTTCCAGTCATGGTGGCTCAGCACTAGGCCTTCCAATCATGCGAAGCTGGATCTAGGGGACTGGAAACCCCAACACTTGTGGAACACCAAAGCTCCTCCGCTTTGGTTGAACCAATGAACCCCCTTAAAAAGGCCAAGCTCGGTCGCCAGCAACAAAAGGTCTCCATTCTCTTGAGGACGTGATTGGCAAGTGCTGACAAAAGCTTTAATGTAAGACTTTAATGTTTAACTATTGCTTCCAACCAAGTGTCAACTGCGTCCTGTTCTCTCATGGGCAACAATGGGGAGACCATCGTTGGGCAACCCAAATTCTGCCAGCTTCAACACACCTCTGTCTTTGTGACTCATCAAACCACCTTCCGCAGTTATCCTCGTGATGTGAAGACCAGGGATCAGTCGAGAGCATGTTGGATGCCAGGAGGGCGAAGTAGAAGCGCCCACCGCCGTCCTCAGGACATACCCGTGGACCCCAGGCAGCCTCCAGGGGCCCTGAGTCGGTCAAGGTCTGGTTACGTCTCGGCGATGTCAACGCCTGGATCCACTGGGAAAGGGAAAGCCTATGACATCTGACTGATGCGACCAGCGCGTGGAATGGGGATCTGTTCAGGAATCTCACCCCAAGACGGGCGCAACTTCTTCACTCATTCCGTAAGAATCAGTCAAACGAGATTTCTTGCTGTCCTGTCCTGTCTACATGTTATACAACAAGTCCCAAAACACTCTTGGTGCGTCTTGTTACTCTTCATGCCCCAACTGGGCCCCAACCATCCATGTATGGAATTAAAGAAACTTTAAACCACCCGAATGCATAATTGAATCTTTCATACATGGATTGTCTCGGATGATGCCCGTTGTACCAAGGGAATCCCCGCCGCTGGCGCGACTGGACCGAGTGCTGCACAGCAGTGCTGCCAAGCATCCAGGCATGCGCTGTGAAAGCCTTCTTTCTGAAGCACCTCACAGCAAAATCGAGCGACAATGAACTTCAGAAACATAAAGGACTAGATTCCTAGATGGTATTATAAACCGTTCAATAATATCAATAACTTTGGGAGACAGGGTAACAACAACAACAACAACATAAATCATCTCATACGCATGCATATACGCATATAGAACGCCTGAAACAAGCAGCCTTTGACTGTCGACCAACGACCGCGCCAACCGTCTGAACCGAGCTTCAGACCTTCCAGCCATAATTCTCCCAAATGGCCGCAGAATGTGCCTCGCCCGGTGACCATCGGATCTCTGCTCGGTGTGCCGGACCGAAGTGGGGACGGAGCAAACCGGTGCGGAGGGGGGCGTGGGTGGCGGGTGAACATGCCAAGCCGAGGTTCTCTTCGGCCGAATGGCTTTTGCTGGGTGAACATGCCCGTTGTTGTGAATGCCAAGCAACCACAAGCAACCAGATCTGATGGATCAACACGAAGACGCATACTAAACTTGTAAAGCATTCATCATCATGAACCGAGCCGAACGGAAATTTGGACTTGTTTTTGGATTGGGGTCGATCTCTAAGGAGGATAAACTTGGAGAAACCATGGTTTGCAGGAGTTCCAAAGGGGCACTTAGAGAAGGATGCAGATTGTCCACGCACTCAAACCAATTGCAAGACTGCAATGACACGCAGTGACATCCGTATGAATTGATCTGCAATGGGTGGCGGAGTTCAAGCGTCAGCCAGTGTTCTCCAAGTTTAGCGCAACGCCCCAGATCCCACTTCTCCCAGAGCCATGCCTTGTAGAAGAGGTGTGCACTCCAGTAGTCTCTTTCGCATTCGGTCATCAGCTGTGGTTGCAAACTACTGATTGAACTACAGGAATTACCTGGAGGAATCAGCATCATGATGCAGCAACTTCTTTTTTCAAGGTCATATCGCAAACACAACAGCATTACTTGCGGCCCTTACGGCATATCAAATCTGGAAGTTGACCACGTAAAGTAGAGTCGGCCAATTTGTCGGTGACCGGTGAGTAGGAATCCTCCATATTGTTAGGCTGTAGAGGAGCAGACTTGCAAGGTCTTGCAAACATTGGAAGCTGGTACAGCGTCCTCTTCTATGCAAAAACCTTTATATACACAACTGCATCCTACATTTCCTGCAGACCTTCCTCTAGAGGAGTCCTATGGCACGAGCCTTTTACCCTTCCAAACACTGAATCTGGAATGCCATCTTCCTCTACTAAAGGCTCCTGCGCGAATCGATGTCCAAGCTGTCGCACGACTTGTTGCCACTGTCAATCATTTCATATGTTTAGTCCAACTGCACATGATGCAGCATATTATGTAGCACAAGCTTTGAGCCATCCATCCTTTCACAGGCCCATGAGGTCGGGAGTATCCACGTAGGCCATTAAGATCCATACTATAGATATTATTATAGAAGCGGCACTAGAAGCAGCCACATTGTTTTGAGACAAGTGACACTTTCAGAATTCACTTGAATTGTTTGAAGGCTAGTTGTGGCTTCCCCTCAAAAACATTCAGCAACTGCACGGCATTAACTTGGAAAGGGGCACCCAGGGTCCTTGGAACAAGCGGCAACAAATACTACAAAGAGTGTCTGGATCCTGAAAGACTTGTTGGAAGCCCACCTACCTGGGAATCTGGGAAACATAAAGAGTTCTTCAAAGATCCCAGTCTGGTCATTCAAACATTCACATCGTGCTTGATGGGTCTGTCCTATGGCCTGTGGGACAGGTTTACTGGGACAAACCGATAGACGAGACATACATCTGGCACTTTCAGGGGTGTGTCTCTCTGCTCTGGAACATCGTGTTCTCGTACGCGTTGTATGGAACCCCTTCGGGAACCGGGAACCGGAAGTTCGGCCTGCTAGTACGACAGGTGCATTTTTAAATGCCATGTTCTAGTGCACTGCAGTGCAGATACCTACCTCAAGATCACCAATAGTTTCGACGTTCGACGACCATTCTGGATCCACCTGGCCGATCAAAGCCGGCATTCTCAACCGCATGGATTTCGACTTTTTCGTCATCGCCACTGCCACCAGCTCCGATCAGCCTCGAGCCGACAGTAGCCGACAGTAGCCGAATCGTACATGCAGACCTGACTTGGTGAAGTCGGCCAGAAATACAGCTCGTATAGGAAGTTGTTCATTCGCTAAACTGACCCCAGCAGCCGGGAGCCCTTGGTTCTGGCTAAAATGAGTTGGTGACATCTTTTCCTAGGGCTGAATGTGGCCAAATGCTGAACAAGGGCAGGTGTGCAAAGCTGGTTCTCCCACCTCAAAAAAGAAACACCCCTATCACCTTCCCAAAGCAGGTATATGGATGTTTACTGAGTATTATCACATCATCGGTCCCAGTGTCGGACGGGACATCCACGCAACACATCCGAAGCCAAGCTCGCCAGGATGGCCGCCACTTCTTCGATCGCTTGGGAGTGGAGTCAGAGTTACATGGCACCCCCCTGTTTCGAGAGGAAGACGACTCGTCGTCCTGTTTGGCGGTGATGTTGGGGAGTCCAACATCTTGGAGATCTGAAGGATTTCCCACTCTCCACCATCTCCAATATGTCCAAAGGTTCCAAGTTGAAGCATGTTGAAGCGCATCTTCAGGCTCTTCAGAAAATTGGGATGTCCAAATAGGATCTAATGGTCCACGTAACCATGTCACACGGAGTCGAGGTGTGTAATGAAGGACTCTGAATTGGAGACAAGACCTATTGCTGAACCCAGGCCAGCCTCAAGGTCATAAAACGATGACAAGTGAACAGAACAGCCCACAAAGAAGCAGAGGCAGCCCAGGGCTGCAGAGCAGAAACCTGAGAAACTCCCGATTTCAGGGTTCCAATTTTGAAAGCTCCTCACCACTCTTCCCCTTCTATTTCCTTTCCAAAGCTCTAAAAGACGTGGTTTCTTCAGCCGGGGGTTCTGTCGGATCTCCAAAAAAGACAGCCATGATCCGTCTGGCTGAAAAGCCTCACTGTCTTCCGCCCACCTCGTTCCAGTCGTGCCACCGATCCCAAGCATGGTCCCTTAGCAAGCGCGAGGTAGGTTGTGGATGGCTGCACATGGGGATGTTGAACGCTGAACAGCTTTTCTTTATGACATCTGGGATGCTTTTGAATAGAACAGATTCCTATGGTTCCTCTTCCATGTGTCCATGTTCGATCTACCCACCCCCACCATCAGTGGTCGCTTGTGCGACGCCGGCAACACACACACTCCACATGCAAATCTCGCAGATCTGCCAAGATCAGCATTGCCCCACATCTTCTGCAGGAGAAGTTCCCATCCCAAGATTGTTCACTTAGAAATGAATTGCTGTCCAGTTCATTTCCTGCCAAGAGAGGTTAAGTGACCTTATAGGACCCGTCACCTGGGGTACCTATGGGATAGTCTAGAGTCTATAGGGTCCTTCAACCTCTGTTGGTGATGAACCGTTCAGCAACCTAAAGAAACTCCTGAAGACCAGTCGGCATGCTGAAACTGATTCGTGAGCTACAGCCTACAGCTGTGAATTTTAGGGTCTCCTGGTGTAAGCTTATGTCCGTGTCTCGTTCAAAATAACACATTTAAAGACATTGTAATCCTCCAACATGCCCATCCCTTCTTATCCACCACACCTTGTTCTCCCTCTTCTAAACACCCACAACCCTCGTCATCGCATCGCGGAAAGCCCAGCGACCAGGAATTCCATCGGCTCCAACTCCAAGGCCTCCAATCCTCCTCGGGCCTCGCGCGAACGACCGGAACGAGGAGGCATCGGGAAGTCTTGGACACGTCGGGATAGGTTTCGTATGTGGTTTTGTCAAACCGTTGTCCAATCTTATTGCACTACATTGCTATCAATTGCATGTGTATATAAATTTTCCAAATCATGTGTTGTTTCATGATGTTTCATGTGTTTCATGATGTTCATATACGGTTGGTGCACATGTATTCAAGGCTGACACGGGAATACCGCCCTCCACTTAGGCCTCCTCTGATTGGTCAACAACATTGAGAAGGTGCTTGGTCACTTGTTTTTTGCTTTGGTCACCCCATCTGTGATTGAATTCCTTTTGAACCTGCATTCCTTTGAACTCACTTCCTCTCTTACGAATGTGAACTGACATTGGCCGACCCCTCAAAACACCACAATCTAGGTGACCATGAAAGTATGTCCAGATATCTGATATCTGTTTGAAATCACTAAGAGAGCCACAAAGAATAGACAAAGAAAGAACACCAAAAAAAAAGAAATAGACAAAGTAACGAGTGGCTACTCATGCAGGAAAGCATCCAAAAACGGTTGTGGGATTGATTATGTGAATATATGATGCTATAGGTACTTCTTTGTTCAGGGCAAGAGACACTCGGCCCTGTGGCATGTCCATCCAGTCATCCCGTAACTTTTGTCCACCCTGCATGAAATCAAAGGTTTACCAAACGGGACCCCAGGCATTATACTCTCTGCTTTGGTCCGGGAATGTCCGGGATTGCAACACGAACATCAAAACAACTCATGACTTCAGCTGCTTTGCTTTGAGGCTTGCCGTTGCAACACCTCGATCTGCCCACCTTCAACCCCCATCAGTCTCCCCACACTAAAAAAACACAACACAGCACTCCAGAGCTGGACCCACATCCTGTTTTTTTTTGCAGATCAACTCCCACGGATGACCAAGCCCGGTCGACCTGTGCTTTTCTTCGGCCGTGGTTTTCGGTCAAAGAATGCTAGGACTTATGGAGTCTTTGTTTGTGCCATGGGTTTCTTTCGTGTCTGAAGCTTTTCGTGGTTCTACCTCCTTCGCCCCATTCCCACGTCTAAAACAAAGAGTTATATAAGAGTTAAGACATACATCGGAAAAATAGACTTCCTCCAGAAAGGGTTCTATCATGCTCTATCCCTCAGCCAGGAAAAGGTCGCAATGAATTCTGGACTGAAGCAACTTATACTTCTATACTTCCATCGGCTTTTGCGCCATTGCATGCCATTGCTCAACCAGTGTCTCCAAATGACATTGGAATCTTCCAAAAGATCGTACACCGCCAATTGCCATAGTGGCCACGGACACTCAGCGGCGAGTGGCAAGTGTTCGACTGCCCCCAAACGGACACTGCTGCCTTTCCTTGCCAACCAAAAAGCTATATAATAATGCTATGATTGCTATGTATAAAATGTCCTTCACATCATTTACCTGCATCTCCTATGATCCATGATTCACCAGGTGCTCGCCATACCCCCCACTTCCCCCAGCATTCGTTTCGGTGGAGCGCACCCGTGCGGGGAACCGCCGTTCGCCAGCTCAGGGTCTTCCAGTGAGAGCACCACGGCGCCTGCGGTGTTTGGGGCCGGTGACACCCACCGGCCTCGGCGCCCAAACGGGTGGGGATCTCGAAATGAAAGATGCTTGGTACGACCATCCAATGGGTGCACAATGGATCTATTAGGATCCACATGAAATCCATGGAAGCCCACCTTGTGTACTCGATTGGAGACCCCTTGGATGGTCCAGTCCAGAAAGCTTTGTTATAGGGGCCATGTCTGAACATGGGATCAAGCAAATGGAAGTCGGTGGTGGGGAAACACACTGCGGAAACACTAGACTGTATATAGTCCTATCCCGCCCCAAATGAATATTGGAGTTGTGCTTATTTAAATATTTCTGTCCCACCCAAAGCGTAGACCAGTTTGTTTGACATGACGGGCTTCTGACTGGAGGCAAGTACAGTAGATGTGTGGGAGGAGAAGTGCCATAGTTTGGAGGTCAGGTCAAGGTGATTTGGTTTCTGCTGCTTGTCCCCAAGAATGAAATGAATCCGATACACGAAGTGGTTTCCTTGGAACCTGGTCCTTGACTCCCCGAGTCTCAAAATACCCCACTTGGACTCAGTATGTTTATCCTTGTCCCCTTCCACAGAAAGCAATTTCTCACTTAGTTCATCTGCCGTTGAACGCAATTTGCTTGTACCAACATGTACCAACCTTTCTTGATCTTGCTGCGTGACCAGCAAACGTCGAAAGCGAGCACCGAGCAGGTGACAATCAGGATAATTAGGTGCTAAAGTTCGTTCTAACTGGTCAAAGGAGGTGACTGAGAGCGACACTTGCTATCACGGCACCCAAATGGCCAGGCCTGTGGAGGATCCAGCCGTAACTTCGACCAGTACCTTTCAAGCGTTTCTAAAGGACGAGTATATTATTAACCAATCACTCCCCATCTGCCAGCTGGGAGTGCCTTTTTGACGCTCGTCGTCCCAATCCACACGCTCCACGCGCATGCCTGACAAACTCGTCAAAGCAACACCATGCATCAGGACACACTAGTGAAGCAGTTCAATTATTCACCCGAAAAAATCACCAAGAACAACAGAATACAAACTCTATAATTAGGTAATTAGGTGTCCACAACGCATGCCCTCACCATTCAGGCGCTTCCAATCTATTGGGTGGTCACCATACTATCTTTCCACTTACATGCTCAAGGCACAAGCTGGCACACGGAAGAATAGGAAGAAGGTGGACTTTGCTGCATGATCTGCATGGTCAATTACCAACAAAGGTTCCCTTCGAGTTTGATAGCCTTACCTTCAGATTCCAGCACCATCTGCAGGGTTGATAATGCAAAGTACTTATTCGATTGTACAACGAAAAATGACGGAGGAAAGCCACTCGGATGACCTTCCTGTATCGTGAGGACTCTTTCCACAGCCTGTACAAGTACCACAGGGAAGAGACAAATCAGAGACAAATGGCAGACTACCTGGGAGGAGTGCCCACAGACTACCTGGGAGGCTCTGTTTTCTTTCCCACCGGAAATGACCAGGCTACCTGGGAGGTGTTGACCAAGCTCCCGGGGCAACGAAGCTCCCGGTGTCATAGCCCGCCGCTCTCGCCTTGGATCTCGTCACCGCGCTGGATCTGCATGCGGATGGAGGGAGCCACGGCCTGGGGGGGTTGACAAGCGTGCTTCCAAGCGAGCTGCTGACGCATCACCAAGTTGAATGAAATCAAAGGCTATGAATCGGTAAGAAGGATTCAAACACCCAAGAACACAATACCTTTTGGATCCTTTTGGCAACTTTGGATCTTCTTTTTCACAACGATTTCTAATCCTCCTCTGACACGCTGTACCCAAGCACTTGGGTCTCGCTGGGTCTCTGGGAATCCCCTGCGAGGGCAGCCAAATGACCCAGGCCAATGTCCACCATGACCTGAGGGTCAGTTGCGCATTTCAGCGGCGAATTGCAGTGGTTTGTCAAGGTCAACGGCTTTGTAGGATGGTCTTGGGCCTCAGATCTTTGACCAACACTCAGATGTTGATCCAAGCTACCCAAATGCTTTGATCTGGGAACTTCAATTTGAATCTTTCAATTTTGTTCAATGAGGAAAAACAGAATGTTGGAAAGGTGTCTCTATGGACGCAAACACGTCACCTGGCCATTTCGGGGTATTACCAAGGAATGTTCACCCTGAAAAGACTAAAACTCCAACTACACTCCCTGGAACTACACCTGGAAGTGGAAAATTGATGTACATGGATGAACATGGCTTCTTTTAAGACCATTTTCATCTACAAACAGAAACTGGGGGGTATTCCACTTCCACGTGAGTTCCTTTGCTGTTCGTCTTCTCACCTGGGTCTCCAGGCCACTTTGGCTGACACCTCCACCACTAGGCCATCCACAAACTGTCCTCAGTTCTGTCCCGTTTTGACCCATGGGAGCTGCTGCACCTGCTTCGACCCTTCAATTAGTTTGGTTGGCCTGGTGTTGCTTGTAGGTGCCGTTTGGCTTCGACCTTGCAACGCGCCGCGATAGTCAACAAACAAGTTGACCTGGTGTTGTTTGGTTCTCTGAAATCTACCGTACAGCAATGGTTGCGCTTTTGGCTATTAAATCAATGGGCCACCGGCCCGGAGTCCTTGCGGCTTGACCACTGCGCGAAAAGCATCGTTTTCGTTCACCCGTCTCTCTGGGTACGGTCCGCAGCACTGGCAGGATGGCCATAACTTCCAGATCTTCGAACCTAAGTTTAACAACCTCAGAATCAGCATTGCAGGTGTCATATGAGCTCCTTTGACAAGCGTCCCAGTCTTCATTGCAGTCTTCATGGATTCATGATCAGTCAAACCATGTAATAGAAGTGGACGGCACCACCTGTTTGGTATTCGGGAAAAGCTGATCCAAAAAACCATTTTCCAGTTTGTGAGAGGACCTGAAGAGCATTCCACACATGATCCAATAGATATCAAACAACACTGTATGTGTTCAATACTTGAATGCTTCTTTAACTTGCTGCGATCACACCCTGCGGTCACAAAGCATCCTCTATCACGACAAGCCTCCCACGCGCAACTTGCTCCCTGTCTCAAGAGAGTCCTGGTCGGTCTGGGGGGTCTTGCTTTCGGATGTCTTCATGGGGTGAAACGAAGCCGCAAAAGATGTGCCGGGGAAACCCGGAAAAAAGTCGCTGGCTGGTTGGCTAGTCTATAGGAGGGGTTCTCAAAGAAGGTTTCAATAAAAGGAGATGAAGGAAACTTGGCTGGGGGGTCTTCCTAGAAAAATACACATCCACATCATGTGAGATAGAACATGGTGCCCCTTCTGAGAGTGCTCCAGTTTCCAAGCATAGCTGATACAGGCGGGACACACACTCCGCTTTGCTGGATCACGAAACTCATGTCTAATATGAGAGCAAAGGGCGTTAATAAAGAGACATCTGGTTGGAGAGGTTCCGGGAGACTATCCATCTCTTGATACATCCCAGCACTTGCAAAGAATCCACCACTTGAAACCATGCAAATAAGCTCAGGAACGGGTGAACATTGACCGACTCCCTACTCTGGGCATGGAGCAACAAACGACTTTCACGTGTTCAAGGAGAGCAACAACTGCAGCTGACCAACTTATAGATTATCAAAGTTGTCTATGCAGCCTTTGTGAATTATGGCCGACAAACGTCCTACAAAGCTGCATTGGCAATCGTTGATACCTCTGGGCCCCCTGGGCCCTGGACAAAGGCAAACAAACATACATTATATAAGTATAAATCATGACTATATATATAGACTATATTTAGCAAACAAAGTCACTTGAAGGACTATAACTGTACATATAGACTTCAAGTGATCCTTCCATGATTCCATGTCTGCCTCCAACTCTATGACCAATCCAGTCATCCTGCTCCCCCAGACCCCATCCGTGAAAACCTGGGGCGCTCCTGCAACGTTGAGCGCACCTCACTCGCCACCTCGCTGGGTGGCTTGGGCCGCGGCCATGAGGGTGGCAGCGACGGAGCTGGCAACTGAGGCGCCTGGAGTGAGCTGTGTGAGATGCTGAGGCGCTTGATGGAGGCTCCAAGTGGTGGGTGAATTCCTAAGGTCCTAAGGGTATGACTGGACCCTCCTGGCACCCATCCTGTCCCACCTTCGAAAAGCCAAACGAGACAGCAAAGCATTTAGCATGAAGATGGACAAACATCATGGGCACGACGGATGGAACCATGTTGATCCGATTTGTTTGAACCCAGTTTTTGTGCTGAAGAAAAGACTCATGAGCCACGACCAGCGAGTTTAAGAGTCCTCGACAAAAGACAAGCGACAAATATGAAGTTCTTTGTGCTTTTCTAGGAGGACCACGCAAGAAAGAACAACCCAGTCAGTCAAATGTTCAATTGGCTTTGCAAAATAGGGACGCCTCAACCAATATATAGAAGGTTAAAGTTCTTCTCCATTTCACCATAAATCATCTTAATATTATATATATATGGTATGTATGTCATCATGTTTCTTCAATTTTCTCTATGTCTTTTGTAGCAGGTTTGTGTCTCAGCTTCAAACAGAACCACAGAACCCCAACCCCTTCGTCGCCTCTGTCGACCGGCCCAGCTCCTTCCGCTCGCTCCGGGCGATATCGCCGCGGCCCGGGCGGTGCTCCGCCCGCCCGTGTCGGTCCTCAAGGGGGGTCTGCCGATGGAGCTACACACCCCATTTCTACTAGCGTCCTTGCTCCTAGTAGTACGGGCAGGAGCCCCTAGTTAAGGTTCAGGGAGGGAAAGGTGAGTCGTCTGTTGGACTAGGTTCTTTTTTGGCGTGTGTGGTTTGGATCTATGGCGTCTGTAGCCACACTTGAAGGGGGATGCTGTTTTGCGACTTAAGGGTCCTATGAGTTGGATGCACTACCACTTAAAACCCTCAGATTCAACACCTCCAACATTGGCCCAACACATCCCAACACGTCTCCTGCCGCTCGGCCTTCCTTGTGGCTTGCTCGGCCCACTCCGGCTGCACACTGGGCGCGTCGGGCTGCTTCTTCGCGCCCGGCCGCAGGAGGTCGCTGATCTGCGGCTGTCCAGCACTTGGATTTGTTCAGGAACCGGGAAAACATATGGAAGAAACAAATTACCAAAAAATAACATATCCCAGGCCCAGGAAAGTGAGATGTCACCCAGTTCAGACGAATCAACATCAACTTCGGCAGAACTAGGATGAGTCGTTTGGAATATCGATTCGCCTTCAAGTTCGTTCGTGAAGCTCCCGAGAAGTGAAAAGAACGGTGGTCGGGTGTTTAAAAGGTCTAACATGAGTATTTATAAGGATGTTTAAGGACTTCCCAGTGTTTTCAGGAGATTCTTGAGAATGAGGGAACTCAAGTCAAAACCTGGGTCTTATATATGGTCTTTTGACGCTTTCTTGGTCTTAAGCCCCCAACACAAACGTCCCATGACTCGTCCACTGCCCTGGTGTTCCACCCACCCAACCCATCCCCGCGCCATGACGGTTTCCCGGAGCAGCACCTGGCGCAGGTTTTGAAAGATGTCACCTCCCCCTCGCTCGGCCAAGGGTGGGTGGGAATGCATGGGAATGAATGAAAGCCGGCTTGGGCTGACAGCTAACCCCAAGCCGTGGTTTGGATGAACTGGAACTGGGAACAAATCAACGAGCACAAACGATATTGCCAAGAAGGGGAGTATTCAGCGAAATAGGTTCAACATATATTTAAACAAACATCACCCGATCCACAAATCTAGGGGTGGGGATGTGCCCTTACTCGAGCGACACCGGCGACACCGTTCACCTCAAGGGGGACCGGAAAGTGATGTTCCAACAAGTGATGACCAAGGACCAAGGGAGATGTTTAAATACATGCTCACTGCTGTGCTTCTGGGTTTGGGCATGTTTAGGAAATCCAAAACAGGATGACCTCACCATGCCCCCACCCAACTGGCCTCCCATTCAAAGTCACAAGAAAGATGTGGAACCACCAAGCTGTTTGTGACAAGTGCGATTTCAAGAAAATGCACCACACGTGGCGTGTCCCTCACGTTCCTTCAGCTAACTTTCATCCATCCAACATGGCAGCTCAAATTCCTCTACCCCAAAAATCCATCAGGTCCATCCATCACATTCCAAAGCTGACCATCTCTGCGGATTCTACAACCCTTCCAGTGACCTGAATATATACTGCAGAAAAGAACAAAACATATAGACATACTCGACAGTCCACTCCCAACCGGGTCCCGGGACTTCTCCGAACGGCGTCGAATCCCCCCGATCCTCGGGATCTTCCAAGGTGAGCCCCAGCTTCGTCTCCTTCAAATCGACGCCTTCGACGGCCGTCAGTCCGCGCGGTGCCGTTGGGGACGGGTCCGGACGGTCCGAAGGTGCACGACATGGTCGAGGCTTGGGTGCCAATGCGTATCGTCAAGCCCTAAGAATCATTGGACCCGACTACTTCTGGAGGGTTTGGGACCCGAAGCAAACCTTCACCGACTTGAGGGCCCTCTCGAGTCGCAGAACCGAGCGCGACGGACGGACGATGTCGGCCCCCCGGCGTTGGATGATGATGTCGCGGATGCATTGCCCGGGCACGAGGTGGTGGGTGAACCTGCTTGGAGGTTGTTGGACGTGATGATTGTTTTATGCCAAAGAAGCAGGGTGAAATCGTGCGAACTCGATGCAAAGTTCTTTTGACCAAGCAACCATTATAAATTAAATACTTGGCCAATAGACAAAGGATTTCTCATGAACAAGCTCTCAAACAAAACTTGGCCGCTAAATAGCCAAAGAACTGAGCTTACTCTTTTGCTATAAAGCAAATAGATGATGCGAAATGGATCGAAGAGGCTTGCCACGTTGGGCTCCAAGTCACTTCCTGGACACATTGAGTCGGCCGATGACCTCCGCGCCCACGTTGACCTCGTCACTGGTTGGTAAAGAACCGCTTTGCACAGAGCGGTGTGATCGGTAACCAGTGGGGTGGGGGGTTGCCGCTCGTGCCATGAAGATTTGGGGCGTGTTTCAAAAAGATTCATCAAAGAATCAAAGACCTCCAACAGGTAAAATCAGATGAGCAGTGTTCATCGAACACATTTGGCTCCAAAGCTAGAGGCCCACTTTGGATCCTTTTCTTGCATGTACTCGGGGTGGCAACGGGGTGGGCGATAGTAAAGCGTGAATTTTGTGAGCTCGTCGGCCCAAGCACCTCTCAATGAGAATATGATATAATACTAAACTAGTATTATGTGTTGGGATGATTAGGGCGCGATTGTGATGTATACAGGAACGAAACTATGTTGGATTCTTGCCATCGGACCTGCCGTGGGTAGAAAGAAGAGACTTTGTGAGCCAAAACAAGCAAATTCACTTGGACTTTGGGGTGCAAGCGATGCAGCAAGGCCAAGCTACGGAGGGGGAGGGGCTTTCAATCCTCTAGATAACTCCCAGATGTTCCCTCCATGTTCACCTCACGAATCTCATGCCTTTAGCAGATTTGTTCGATAAACTGAGTCAAGCTGAAAGGAGCTGAGAAAAGCGGTCCAGAAGCTTCACGGGACGTCCGGATGCACACTTGCATGTCATAGCAGTCTTTTTTGCAAAGGTTGTTGGTTGACAGTCAGGTACCACTTGGTACCACCAGCACAGGTTTAGATATTGTTGTTCAATTGCCAGGTAGAGACTTCCACAACGTATTAACGTATCCGCAACATGCTCCTCCAATCCCCCCGATGGGATCGCCTGTTTGCTCGGGAGTCCAATGAAGGCTTCCACTCAATGGTGTACGTACTTGGGAGCACTACAGGGGTAAGTGCCAGGTACCAATATGTACACGACTCGAATTATCCCTTCGATTCATCAGGCAACCAAGGCAATCTATGCTTCCACTCCCATGTCTCGTGCTCCATTGAGGCACCCAAATCCCATACGGATTGGTATGGTCGATGATACCATCGACCTTAGGCGCAGCATAGCGGATTGCAAAAAAACAGAGCCGACCCGAGCATGGTCGTCTGGCCCTAAGGATTTACCCTTGCTATGCCTTGCTTTCTCCACAAGTCCGAAATCTGTGCACAGTTCATCGAGGGATCCTATGTTCGATAGTTTGTCTTGCCATTGTGCTTGGGTTTTCATGACTCCACGACTGCAAAACCACTTGGAATGCGCACCATATCGCCTTCCGCCAGATCCTGGCATGAAGATGTTTACACCGCGGGGATCGAATGGGATCGAAGTCTGGCAACACAAAACTATATAGGAAAACATGTTGTTTGTGGAGGAAGCAGCAGAACTGGTACCTGAATTGAGATTTGTGTGAATTTGTGTTCACTTTTGGTGTTGAACCCATACAAGGGGCAATGTATGGGTGTGTGTTAAACTAGGGATAGTTTTCCCGGGCAACCCGCTGGGAGGTCGGGAAATAGACCAGTCTATACCTTTCGAGTCAAATATCTAATGATTCCACCAACTGCGCAGTGCACCAGATCCTCCCAGATCCTCAAAAAGTGGTTAGACCCCCCCCTGGCACCCTCCCAACATATTAATTGGGAAATGTCTGGCCGTAGCCAATTCCCTGCAGCAGCCACACACCGCGGAACACCACGCCATGACCGCCCCCGGTCTTCTTTCAATGCTTGTGTCGCCCATACTAGCATTGGATGGGTGGCTCAAAGAGCGCATTGAGAAGCTTTCCTCCAACTGCCGCACTTCTAATACCATTTCGTCCAAAGCACCCGCGCCACCACGGTCTCGGCTTCTCGAGCAGTGCGAGAGACGCGCGGCCTCCAATGGGACTCGATTTTCCGCCAGCTCCGCCTCAGCCTGGAGCCACACGTGCCACACGTGCCACGTTCGCGTGCGACGTGGGAGGGAGAAGCACAACTCTTTGGTTTTGAAGAGAAGCTCTTTGAGTGTGATGTCATGCAAAGAAAAAGAACCAGACTGGAACAATACTTGAGACAAAAACTATACCATCAGCTTCTGGCATCCCCGGTCTGCACAATTGCACTGAAATAATCAGTGGAAAGAACATATGCTCCTGCATGTAAGATTTATTTTTTCTACAAATGGGTGGTGCCACCACTTCCATGTTCATGACTCGGAGATGAGAACCAGGTTCTCAGCCATGGCGGCCACCCCAAAACCACGTAAATCAACGGGCATTTCTCGAAGGTCGTACGGTCGCGTGGACCGCACTGCACTTTGCTGCAGGAAAAACCAAGCACATCAGAGGAAAAGGCTGACAGTATCCGCAGGGGTATTGGACAACTGTGGAAGACGTTTCTTGGGGAGAACGATGTTTGAACTGCTCTCCATCATCACTTTCTTTCCACTTTCGAGTATAGCTACAATGGCGCTGGTAGTAGTTTCGACCTCATCCGTGACGACGTGAGCCACAACAAGCAGTTCTTGGGAGCCACACATCATGTAAGGTCACGCAAAAGCGGTGTTTCTCCAATTCGACCTCCTTGACGACCTTAGTAATGGTGGTCACAACTCACAGAAACCGATGGGTTGTGCATGGTTGCGGAGAACAGCCGACTGATTTTGGTCAGGGACCTGTAGGGCACAAGATCCCATATCGGGTGATTGGGTCAAACAGGATTGCCAAGCACATGGCGTCGCAGGGTCATACGGATGGGCACCCTAAGCATGAAAAGGAGTGACGAAGTATAGAAGACTTGTGACTTGACATGACTTGACTATTGATTGCAGCGGATCTATGTTACAACAAAACAGAGAATTTCACTTGGATGGACCATGGTTGCAGCTCAGAAACCAACATGTCGGGTTCCTCTACCTCTCAACTTAAAAAAACCCATGCTTGTTCGGTGAATGAATCATGGACGACCGAGCGGCGCAGTTGCCCGTCCAGTTCCATCCCTCCGAGTGGCGCAGTCCAGTCGGTCGCCCACCTAGTCGCGAAAGCCCGCAGCTCGGCCAGCGCGGCGTCGGTCGACACGGTGGGTCACCGGTCGACACCACGGTGACCAGACAAAGCTCAGCACACTACGGAAGATGCTGGTGCCGCATTGTCACGGTATATAGATGCTCTGTAAGTACATCGATCATCGATCTGAGTACACTCCGTCATTCGCATGGAATGAGGATGGCACCACCTGTTTGGGATGAGGAACATGGTCGAAAAAATTGGGCCATGTTCCACTTCCATGATGATTTCAGGGACGTAAGAACTGTCGTTTGTAACTTTCATGACCCCAGTTCATGAAAAAAGTGGAAATTCGCACGACCAGGAAGGGGAATGCGGGCAAAATGTAAGACCATACCCCTGCTTCGATGGTCAAGTCAAATAGCCATGCTGTGATGTGCTCTCTTGAGAGGTTTCTGCCATAGCGCGCGTCGACACCAAAAGGACTCTTGAAATGATGGTCTTGAGGCGTGCAATATAACCATGTCAAAGAAGTATGCTGATCCAGATGGAGGGCAAATAGCATCACAAAGTCACAAAACTACAAACACTCAATATTTTTGGTGCCTCAGTACTTCTATCGATGATCCTGTTTTGTTTTTCTTGCCAAACTAGTGATGCTAACAGTGATGCTGGGCCAGGCGTCCCTTTAACAGACTCAGTCTAGAATCGCCAGTTTACAAAGAAAACATAATACCTGAGAAGCTGCAAAACGAAAGCCAGCGCTTTTGTGGGGCTGATTCGCAGTGCAAAGCCGGGAAGAAGCTATTTCCACTGTCTGTGAAGCCTGATGCGCGCCATACCTGGGAACAGAATTGTAGCTACAAGACCTTTATTTTCAAGGTGGCCTGAACAGAGTGTTTTAGGGCAGCAAA